TGGTTAAAGAAAGTGCTTTCGACAAGATGTCAACGAGCTTGCAAAGGTATTCACAGCTTTACCATACAAGCTTGACAGCTTGATTACCGACATCCTATATCGCATTAACTATCATTGGCTGTATCAACTGTTACTGTCTGATTACGTACAAACGTATCCGAGGAGTGTAATGAAAGATAACGTGCTCGATCACTTTGCTACTCTTGTTACTTTTCGCGAAAGGTCATGTATAAAAGACCTGACTTAAAAATGTATATGTATGACTTCAAAGTTTTTCAATAAAAAATCAAAAGACTTGTTTTAAGAAGGGAATCGAACAATTGCCTTTATGCTGACAAAAAGGTTTAAAAATTATGGAAATTGTTTTGCTGATTAACATTTAAGATTTTCTTAATAAATAAATGTTTTTTTTGTCAGCAAACAAAATTTTGATTATTTTTCGGTCCCCTAATACATTATAATTATGATACTTTAGTTGAATATGATACTTTAGCACCATCCTCTGCACGCTTAGAAATATAGATAATTTCAGATTTTACAAGGTGTTATGTAACTAATGTTTCTTCCTGAAAAAGAAATTATAAAGATTGTCATTCTGAACAAGATTTTCCTCTGCAAAAATGGGCTCTGAAGCTTCCTTTTTGAATTATTTAGTAAAAACACGGACCAGTCAGTACCATAACCTAACCAAATGCTAACCTAACCTACATGCACTCTACATACAAAATGAATTGCCACGTTTCATTTCACAATTAGAAGATTCATGTACTAATATTTTGAATTAAGTTCTTGTTCTGTTTAATATTTGTCAAACTTATCAGGAAAATGTATGATAATCAGAGAACAATCTGGATTAGGTTTCCGTTTCAAAACACGGACCACGTTTCGAACAGAACAATTGTTTGCAGCGCAACGTCCGCATTCTAATTTGGAGCCGTTGCTTTGAAGCTTGCAAGGATGGGAGAAAAATACTTCCACGAGACGAATGTGCACGCGAAATTTGCCAGCCTTTCGATTTGGGTTACGCGAAATTTGTTCTGCGAGATAAACGAGCTCGTTGTCTGGTTCCGTGAATGTTCGCATTCACGGGTATCCCTTTCGTGCATCCGCATGCACGAGTGCAGTGAAAAATCGATCGATTTGATCAACGTTTCCCTTTTGCGAATTCATTGTTTTAAGTTTTATTTAAATCTGTTACAGTGAAAAATTAATCTTATGTACTCGAAAATTAAATTGTCACTCGGGAATTCTTGAAAATCCCTAATTTCATTTAGATTTAATTACGAGAACGTAATGAACTCTCTCGTTTCTACGGTAGAATGAATTCTCAAGTAATGAACTTTCGCGGAAAATAATTTCCTCTTTCAATTACGAGTTGGAGTAAATTTCGACATTTTTTTCGAGCAAATGAACAATCGAATCCAAGTCGAGTAATTTATTAACACATTGACTGCCATACTGAAGCAATTTTCAATTGCATACAGCAGTGTTTTAATTTTTAATAAATTTTACCAAATATTTTCACATCCAGCAGTGTTTTAATTTTCAATAAATTTTACCAAATATTTTGACAATATCTTGTTACATTTATTTTTCATAGATCCCTGTAATTATTATTGTTATTAATTTTGTTACAGCCTCAATTGCTTTGATCCCTGTCCCACCCTTGTAATTAATACAACAATTTTTAAATTTTAAATGAACAAATTTTTAATAATACAAATGTTGGATCACTATAGAAACCTAAGTATCACTCACATACAAGTAACATGGCCATCAACCTGTTAAACGCACTTTGCTCGCATCAAGCAGCAATATCTTGAATTTCTCACGCGAGGATGAAAAGAGTGCTCGAATCGCTGGAAGGAAATGAGGAAGAAAGTAACTTGGACACAAGTAATTTACATTTTCTGGACCGATAGCTCTGCTGAGAAATTTATCCTGAGGCATTCGAGAATTCTTGCCTCTACCGTTTCAATTTAAAGTTCCTGTACGAAACAACAGCGTCGAAGTTGTTTAAACTTCTACCGATCTCGAGAACAATATAGTTAATTATTGATTCGCTGCGTCTTTGCAGAGATACCTTACGTTTGTAATCGTTTGATTGATCTGCTGAATGATTTTTCGAGATTTTGTAGGTTTTAGAGTTTGACAGATGGCACATGTGAGAAGTTGGAAAGTTGAGAATTTGGGGGTTTTGGAAAATTTAGGATTTTGCAAATTCGGGGATTTGAGAGATGGTGAGAACTTGAAAAGTTGAGAATTTGGAAATTTGAAAACTTGAGAATTTTGAAGTTTACGAGGTTGGAAGTTAGAGAGTTTCAAAATTTGAGAATTTGGGAACTTGCAAGTTTGGAAATTTGTAAAATTGGAAATTGGAAAATTTGGGAACTTGCAAGCTTGGAAATTTGTAAAATTAGAAATTGGAAAATTTGGAACTTGCAAGTTTGGAAATTTGTAAAATTGAAAATTGAAAAATTTGGAAACTTGCAAGTTTGGAAATTTGTAAAATTGAAAATTGGAAAATTTGGGAACTTGCGAGTTTGGAAATTTGTAAAATTGGAAATTGGGAAATTTTGGAGCTTGCAAGTTTGGAAATTTGTAAAATTGGAAATTGGAAAATTTGGAAACTTACAAGTTTGGAAATTTGTAAAACTGAAAATTGCAAAATTTAGGAACTTGCAAGTTTGGAAATTTGTAAAATTGAAAATTGGAAAATTTGGAAACTTGCAAGCTTGGAAATTGGTACAATTGAAAATTGGAAAATTTGGGAACTTGCAAGCTTGGAAATTTGTAAGGTTAGTCTCTTGAGAATTAAAAAATGTGAAAGTTCAAAAATGCGGAGATTTGATCAGAAAAGACTTCCATGTCCGCATGCATTCGAAGCACACGTGTGCACCGGTTAAACCAAAGCGGGAACTCATATTAGGAACGTGATATACCGGGTGTCCGAAGAATCCGCTGGGAAGTACAAGGTGTATCGACCTCAATGACGCGATTACACGACACTCGACAACGAGTTGTTACGTCCCTGGCACTTTCTGGGTCTCGCCCTGTCCTCCACCCACTCACGAAGGACGGAGGAAGTATTGATTAAATTCACCGTCGGCCATTTTGTCCTGCGATCCGATTGGTTGCCGTCCATTTTGTCCTTCCCATCCCTTCCACCCACGTTTACCTCTGTTTCTTCCTCTTCCTTCGTTCGTCCTCCTATGTCCTTATCATCCCTCTCTGTTCATTCCAATATTGTCCTCAACCCCGAACGCATGCGTGACGACATTTTCCACAGAAAGAAATCAACAATCAGATTTTTTTCCGCCCCCTCGCTTTTCACGGTTGTTCTTCGCCTCGAAACTCGTGGCTCCGGTGTTTGATGTTGATATCATGGATTTCATTTGTTGATTCCCGGTGCTAAACGTGCCACCAGCGTTGCATGAATTTTTATGAGGCTTCATTAGAGCAATAGGAATCACCTTAAACCGGGGATGGTTTAAATTCCTTGAGGTCTTCGTGGCCTGGAATCTCAGGATAATACTGCTCCAGAAGCTCAACCATTTGGAGATAATCTCTGACATAATCTAGCTGTACTAGATCTTGATATATATGTCTGTAACAGGGCGGTTTGATAAACCGTTTCAAATTGCTGTGTTGGAGGAAGCTGGACGTGATCAAAGGGTTGGGAGTTTGGAGATGATGGCTGTTTTGAAATGTAAGTTGGGACCTGTTTTTAGTTGATGTGCTAGGTTATGTTAGACAGGTGGATTAAGGGTAGTTTACTGAGATAGGGTCAATGGTAGCAAGGCTAATTTAAAAGTTATTCCACATTAGTATACTTGCACTTGTAGAGCAAGTGGACTTACTATTAACACTTGCATAATGGTAGTAGTTAACAGAGTATTAAAGCTTAGGTCACACTAATAAGGGAAGCAGAGAGTATTAATACTAATGATATGCTTGCTGAGATGGATGTTCTCATGATTGCTGATGTGGATGTTCAGGCAAGCGAGATAGGGTCAATGGTAGCAAGGCTAACATAAAATTTACTCCACATTAGTATACTGGCACTTGTAGAGCAAGTGGACTTACTATTAACACTTGCATAATCGTAGTAGTTAACAGAGTATTAAAGCTCAGGTTATATTGAAGGAGGGAGCAGAGAGTATTAATACTAATGATATGCTTGCTGAGATGGATGTTCTCATGATTGCTGACGTGGATGTTCAGACTCGCAGTTAATAGGACAGGCTATGCTAAAGATAGTGCGCTAATGCAGACAAGTGGACATGCTATAAAACTTGAATTACATTAGTAGAGAGAGTACCAGATTACAATACTATATTCAGTGGCATTCACTGGACAAGTTCTCTATGTTCAAATGATCGAGTAGCTCATAGAGTACTAAAGATTAGGTTATGTTACTAGAAGGAGTAGTATGGTATACTTCTGCTAATCAGCACGTATTCTCGTATGTGAACATGTGACATGCACCCAAAGCAATAGAACTGCTAGATGGCAACAAGTTGCCACCTAAGTAACGTCCTCTCAAAAGTCCACATACGAACCCCAAATTATAAAACTGATCCTCACCCCTTCAACATATCTAAACAGAAAGATATGGTTCCCTCTGATTCCATCGGTTCCCCGTTAAAGTACAATCGTAAACATATAAAAGGTTCTGGTTGCACTCCTACGCGGAAACCGCACGTAGGTTTCGTGTCTTGCGGGCAGAGAGGACAAAGAGAGAACGGGAGAGAGAGAGAGAGAGTAAGATACGATACGTCATATAAGTTCTGACGTCAGGGTGACGTTCGAACAGGGATTGGGCAAGTAGTGACACGCCTATCCGGCCACCCTCGACCCTCTGTACTTGGCGGAGAGGTACGTCGCTCCGCCCACGTGAAAACAACCCCCGCCAGCTGGGGGTGGCTGCGTGGGTTGTACAGAGATGAAACTGGGTCAGGCAGACTCGAGGCAGGCCGAGTCAGGCCGAGGCTCGAGAGTCGTCCAGGCGTTTTCGGCTGGAAGCAGTCCCTTGGAAACCACCCCGAAGCCCGTCGTCGTTCCACCAGTCTATCGACGATCCATCCTTAAGTCCTTCTATCGCTAGGACAGCTTCATCCCCTTGTACGCGACAGAGACACCGTTTCCGCGTTCGTCGTACGAAAGCACCCTTGTAGAGGCACGGATTTGGTGAGTGGACTCTTCGCGAATTATGATTGTGCCCTCCTTCCTTTTATCATATTCCTACGATGTTTAGACTAGTTGAGAGGGTTTTGGAAACGTGTTACTTCGAGGGGTTGGAGTGATTTTAGCTTGTATTGTTGATACAAAATTTGAAGTGCTGTGTTGTCGAGGCACACCATGAATTTGATCGAATAATTTTAAAAAAATTAAAGTATCAGTAGTAAATCGAAGTAGTGTCAGATAGTGAAAAATCTTCATATTTGGAATATATGCTATTTTATTTCGATTAATCGATTATGTCAAGTTTATGGTGCCGGGACCACGCTGTCTAATGTGGTAACACATGGTAGCGAGTGAATACTTGCAAAGCAACTTCTAAGCAACTTGAAAACTGCAATCTTATTCGAAGTCGTATACCAGTCAAAATCTTAAACCACTGGTTTACAAGTCTGCTTCCACTGAACACGTTGATTCTCTTCAAAACCATCTCAATTCAAATTTACAATTTTATACGCTTTCTCGTACAATTTCATTCTTGCTTCACCGTCTTTAATAATTATAGATACCCATAAACGTTTGCTCATTTTCTATTTGCAACACAGACACGATCACAATGAGTTCTGTATAATTACATCTTACGTGTACGGGTATGAAATGTTAATTGCACGACTGTTCATTGATACGCACTTATTTTCTTTCACTCTATCTGCGTCAGTGATGGGCTTCGGTCGCATGGACGTGCAAGCGGGCATTTGTGGGCAATTTCTTAATTTCAATATTCCCAAAAGCCTAGTTTCCAAATCTCAGCAATTTTTATTTTGGGAAATCTCAAGTTTTATAGTCGTTTTGCAATGTTTGAGATTGATGAATAGTAACGTTACTGAATTTTTAGATTTTTCAATTATTGATTGCCTAAATTAAGAATAACTTAATTTTCGAATTCCTACTTTTCTAAATATCTGAATTTTCAGACTTCTGAATTCTTGAATTTCTAAATTTTCAAACTTCTAAATGTCCACATTTCTAAATTCCTAAATTATTATTTACAAACTTGTAGATTTCCAAATCCGAAAATTCTGCAGTTTCTAAAATCCCATCTTCCTAAATCCCCAACACTTAAATACCCAACCCTTAAATTCCCTTGTCCTTCAAATCCCGAACTCCTAAATCCTCAACTCTCAACCCTGAAATCCATAAATTTCCAAATCTTAAAACTCTGCAATTTGAAGAGCCCCATCTTGCTAAATGCCCAACTGCTAATTTCCCGAATTCTTAAATTCACTAGTCTTTCAAATCCTGAACTCCTAAATTCCCAAATCGCTAAACCTTGAAATCCATAAATTTCCAAATCTTAAAACTCTGCAATTTCTAAAGTTCCATCTTCCTAAATCCCCAACCACTAATTTCCCGAATGCTTAAATTTTCTAGTCCTTCAAATCCTAAATTCCTAGATCCCCAAAACTCTAAACCTTGAAATCTATAAATTCCCAAATCTCAAAATTCTGCAATTTCTAAAATCCTACCTTGCTAAACCCCCAACCCCTAAATCCCTAGCTCGTAAATCCCCAAATCTCTAAACCCTGAAATCCATAAATTTCCAAATCTCAAAACTCTGAATTTCTAAAATTCCACCTTCCTAAAACTCCAACCCCTAAATCCCCAGCCCCTAAATCCCCAACCCTTAAATCCCCAACCCTTAAATCCCCAACCCCTAAATTTCCTAGTCCTTAAAATCCCGAATTCCTAAATCCCAAAACCTCTAAACCCCCAAATCCATAAATTCCCAAATCCTCAAATTTCTAATCCTAAAATTTCCAGAAAAGAAAAAAGACTGCTCACAAGCCCACAAGCCCCGAGCCATCATTGCTCCACATCACACAATCTTACAGCACAATCTCTGAACGCATAACGAGTAGTGCCTGATCTCTACAAGACAAATCTGTCGCTTCTATCTTCACGCTCCAAGGACCAGATCGGTTCAGAGAGCAGTGTAACCGTCTAAGTGTATATAACCAATAGTGTGAGATGTATATTTTTCAGCAGAAACCGCGTTAAAACGATATGCTCTCTGTCCATGTTTCTTTGGTCGCTCGGCCTGCCGTGCTCCTTCGGCGTTAATTCTCGCTTCGCAGTTGTGCAATTTCTCTCAAGCTCGCTGGAAATGAAGGCGCGAAAAAAGTTCGGCTCGACACTGAAGCGGACACTGTTGTTGATTGTTGTAGGGACTGAGGCGAGGGGCACAAGCAGAGACATGGACAATGTGCAAATGATCGGCACTAAAATCACAGCGATCAAGGAATACTTATATGTAAGGCATTCCCATCTCGCTGCACGTCATTTCATTGTGTCTCTCTCTCTCTCTCTTTCTCTATTTTTTCTTTCTTCTTTTTTTTCGTCGATAGTTGTCTTTATCGTTTCATTTTCTTTCGTCATTTGATTTTCACGATTTGGCCTGTTCACGAATGCTTTTGCTACTTTCTCGTCTCGACAGGTTTCCAATGATGTAAATAGATTTGTGGAATGTACAGTGGTGAATGTTGATATACGATTTCCCGTTCGCGAAAGAGACATGTTCATTGTGAATTTCAGAACTTTGCCCGGACACACTCACCGACCAGACTAATGAGTTCCGAAAACACGTACTCGCTCTCCAAGGAGCATTGTAACCTCAAATATTCGGGTAAGATAATTATTCATATTTTACGTTATCTAATTTAAAGCATGAACGGTGGTAATAATACTATATTCCTGCCAGTGCATGTTCCACATAGCTTCATCGCAAACTACCCTTAAAATAATTGAAACTTAAACTGTTCACTCATATATATTCTTACGTATAAACTTCATGTATCAATCAATTCATAATTAATCTGCCCAAACGCAACGTCTGACCACATTTCCGCCTCACAGTGGCGTTCAAGGTCGTGCCTCTTGCATCAACAAATTCCTCCCCGATTCTAAAGGCAACCTTGGCTTTCCGAGAATGAAATCCGGGAGTCACAATATTGTCCTGATTTCGCGAAGCGCGGTCCGGGAGGGTGCATAATAATGGAGGATTTAGAATTGGCCTGAAAAGTAGTCGACGAGTGGCTGAGGACAGATTACACGCCACAGAAAGGGCGGAAGGGTTTGTTGTCACGACGTGTTTGCTGTTGGCCAAGTGTTGGAAACCGATAAGACTCGTTTTGAAACGAATAATCGAATTTAAAATATGCTTTCACTAAAACAGATCTTTGTAACCGGGTCTGCGTTCTTGTAACATCTTATCAAATTTTTGAGGTGATGTATCATTGTAATTACCTTGGATGAAGATCACATTGTTTTATTATAAGAAGTGTTCATTCAAAACGGTGTTTCACTATGAGAAAAATATTTGCAAAAGTAAATTGAATTTCTTTTTGCTGTACGTGAAAATGTTTGAAAGTATGTTAATATAAAAATGAAGGGTACTAGCTTCTTCGTAGAAATTTCTTATCACTGTCACTATAATAAAAATATTTGCACAAAAGATACAGTCTCTGTATTTTTCCTATACGTGAAAATATTTGAAAGCATGTTAAAATAAAAATAAAGGCTACTAATTTCTTTGTGAAGATTTCTTACGAGACTTGCCATTAAGAACAGCCATTTTGATTACCTTCGATGACAGGTTACTATCACAATACAAAAAATATTTGCACAAAAGATACAGTCTCCATATTTTTCTTAAACGTAAAAATATTTGAAAGTATGTTAATATAAAAATAAACGCTAATTTCTTGGTGGAGATTTCTTTCGAAACTATAAATTAACCCCCTAAGTCCCGCTTATAAATCGTTGGAACTAATTGCCGCATGTAACAACCCCTAGAAAGCGCTTTGATTAAAGCCAGGAACCGAGGGTCCGATGCATCTGGTGCCAAACGGTGTTTCACCTAGATTAAGCTTGAACCTGTAATTATACAATTGCGATTGTTATATGCTTGCATGGTACTGTTGCTTTCGAAGTCTACTTGGTCGAATTCTATCGAGAGTGCTATAAAGCTCGAAAGAATGAACGTCGATGGTCTTTTAGACGTTAGATTGATAGAGCTGGATTAGCTGAAGCAGAGCCCTCGGAAGCTGGGGATTTCCCTTGTCTAACCATAGGCTCAGAACGATTCACCATAAGGTTTTCGACGTTCCCTTTCCCCATTCTCATTCGTCTCGTGATTATTGAAAAGTTCCCTTCGAGACTTTAGAAGTTCAACTTGTGTTTGAAGTTGAAAATGTTTTATTTAAACGATCGAATTTTTTACATTTTCTTCTGTGATGATTGTGTAAAAATTAAGTTAAGTTTACTGCACATTTTCTGTAATGAGTTTCGTGATGTTTATCCGGGATCTCCTTAATGCAATGGAAAACGAAGGGTGGTTCGCGGGAAACTTTATGGTCGCCCTGCAACAGTGAGACAGTTCAATCTACCAAGGATTTACCAGAAGCACATTGAAATGTCCCGTAGGCAGTTTATGATCGCAATTCTAATTTGTTATCTGACCATGCGTTTCTTATACAGTAATCACACTTCAAATTCAAATATAATTTATTGCCTAGCCTTGCAATATTTTTGCTATCACTACTGCATAGATTGCAAGAAGATTAAAAAGCAGCCATATATAAAAATTAACAACCTTGACGCTTTGGTAAAAATATGACGTTCAATGTGTTAACAAGAAAAATTACGTTCGAGTTACACAAATATTATTAAATATTATATTTAAATTCCACGATTGCGTAATTTTGTGTTGCATGATATTCAATGATCGTTGCATGCATTTGGAGCAGCAAAATGTAACCAGTCATCGGCGAAATAAGAAGAGGAAAAGAGAAGAGAAAATGGAGAAGAGGAAGACGAAGTGAGATGGTGTCATCCCACCAAACAAGTGAGAGTGTGTCAATATAGGTCTATACTTTCAATTGTTTGATGAGGTGAAATCATTCTAATAATTGTCGTTTTCTGCGAGGACGTCGGAAACCCGACGGTAGGTCGACGGAGCACCGAGAAATATGAATTCAATGAAACGGTATCAAATCGATCGATGTCGCTATCGTAGAAGAGATTTCACTTGATTATAACAATTAGAGAGTCATCGTAGACTGTCGTAGTCGCATTTAACGAGTACCATTCGTGAAGACACTTTATTATTGTTATATTATATCTCGTATTATCACCTTGAACCTGTAATAAACCTCTGACAATAAAGATACATATCTAAGATCCTCAATTTTTAACATTAGCGAAATGTGAAGATATAAAAGATGTAAATTTGAGAATTCGTGAATTTGGGACTTAATTCTTGAAGAACGTTGACAAGCTTCAAAACTGTTTCACTGAAAGATAATGTCAAGACCTGTTTAAAATTGTACAACCTGCAGTTTCAAGGAAGTTGAGGAATCATTACACAAAGTATAAAAATGATCATGAAGTATAATTTCTAGTACTCTCTTGCTCTCAGATATCCTGCCCCAGAATGTCGAAGGTTATCCAGCAACCAGAGAGTTCCTAATGAAGGTGGTGGATATTCTGCTGGATTTCATTAAGTCGACGAACGACAGAAACGCGAAGGTCCTCGATTTTCATCATCCCTCCGAGATGATGCGTCTGTTGGATCTCGAAATTCCTGACACTGGCTTGACACTTCAGCAGCTGCTCATCGACTGTTCCACGACGCTGAAGTACCAAGTCAAGACCGGTAAGTTAAAGCTTTCTTTCGTGTTCATCAACTTCGAAATTAAGTCTCCGTTCGCGAGATTGGGGATGTCTGGCAGGGAAACGCTTAACACCGTTCTATCTCATTTCCTTGAGGGTGATAAGCCACATAATTTCATATTCAATTTAGCATACGTACTACGGGACAGAGATAAGGCTAGAGACACTTCCAGCCTTTCCGTCGGCTTCAACCCCTCCTAAATGTATTCTCCCTCGTGATAAATGTGCAGGGGCGATAACTGAAAAAACTGAGATCTGGGTGCATCATCTATTGCGGACACATAATTCTTTTGTAACGTTTCAAACTTCCTTTTTAATGGATGTTGCAATTTAAAATGTAATTCTTTGTACAAACGCTTTTCATTATATTGTTATTAAATGCTATATAGCACTTGTGTCTCAAACAAAATTAGCTTTATAGTATTGATACAAGTCATGATACTTTATGTGTCTGTCCATATATTTGCTATTATAATCTCAAGTATTTGACATCTTGTTACTTGAACAAAATTAGCTTTATAGTATTCATACAATCATATGTTTGTCTATATATCTGCTATTATAATCTCAACTATTTGATATCTTCAACTATATTTTTTTTAAAAGAAAAGAATTAGTTATTTTGCCAAAATTAATCTTTTTATTCAAATTACATCCCTTCCGCATCAATACACCGCTGGGCACGCTCACAAAACGTTAAAATAGATTTTTTTATGTCGTTCCGCGGAATTGCTTCAAACACCCTTGTCACAGCTGCTTGAATTTGTGTACCAGTGTCAAACGTTCCTTTTATAGCTAATTTCAGTTTTGCAAAAAGGAAGTAATCACATGAAGATAAGTCAGAATTTGGAGAATGTTGGGACTTGTTTTTTCGCCAAAAATTCACGAACAGCGACAGTTCACATGGTGCGTTATCATGCAACAGAAAGCAACTTCCCAACGCTCGATATTCGGGCCTCACACGAACGATCCTCTTCCACAAATGTTCCATAACACCCAGATAATATTCGCCATTAACATTTTGTCCCTGTGGAACGAATTCCCGAAGTATAATTCCTTTAGAATCGTAAAAGCAAATTAACATTGTCTTCTCTCGGGACTTCTGGAATCGCAATTTTTTGATTTTGGAGAGCCTGGAGATTTCCACGTAGCACTTTGGCGCTTTGTTCGAGGTTCATACTTGAAGCACCAAGTCTCATCACTAGTTACAATTGATTCCAGGAATGTACAGTTTCATCCGGCTGTTTTGATAAGATCCTCGCAATATTCAACGCGAGCAATTTGTTGCGCTTGCCTGTGATTTTGTGACACGGTGACGAAAGGTTCTGTCGCATTAAACGCTATAAGTTTATAATTCGTTGCTCGATTCCAATAATGATTGTTGTGTTTTGTAGGGGAGGTATTCTGTTTTCAGATAACATATTGTTTTAACAGATGTCACTAGTAGTTTTCGTTATATTTTGAACACAGAAGTAATTAGTAAATCCAGTCCTCATATTACCTCCGATACTCCACGTTTGGAGAATGTCACTAGGAAATTCTGCAGACGGTTAATTCAGTCACGAGTAGGTTTACCGAATCCTCTGGCGTTCCAGGGAAGGGCAAGAGTCAACCGCAAATCCCCCGCGAAAGTTCGCTATCTCGGCAGGATTCGATTACCAGCTTGAATAGATGCTAATGCACAATGGAAGAGGGCTAACCGAACTTAGGCCAGAAATCAGGCTCGTCTGGCAGCGAAGACCAACGGGGATGAGAAAAGCACCCCTGTGTATATCAGGTCGCGTGCGCGCTATACGTGTCGACAAAAAGTCGTTATTAGATTATATTTCGCCGAGATCCGTGTATGTTGAGGTCCGTGAAAGAAACTGTCCCTCGCAGGATCGATTGATAGCAGATACGCGCAAAAATATCTTGGACAGCTGGACGATAAGGAAAAACTTCGATGATGGGCGTGTGAAATATGGCGCGATAAAAAGAGACTGATACTGGAGGACGTCCAAAATGGTGCATCGTGGATGAATCGATAAAGCGTTGCACGAAAAAGATTTAAGCAATGGTTCTTTTATTTCAAGAGGAAGTAATAAATATAAAGATTTGAGTATCCAAAGTTTATCATTCGTGCAGATTAATATTGATCGATAGAGCGACATGTGTGAAAATCTTGATTGATCACGAACACAACGGAGCTTCCGACGTTCGTGATTGATTCCTTTGTTGAAAGCAACATGCTGCCGATATTAAGATCAGCGGTGTGCACGTCGATTCTGCGGATTGTTGGTATCTATAGAACTGATAGGTGTTTTGATGGAAATAGAAAATGAATTTTTCTTCAAATTCTAAATTTGGTGCACTGCACGTCATCATTAGGGACTTGGCGACGTTATTAGAATTTATGAGTTAGGAAACATATATCTTCATATGTAATTTTCAATCTCATGAACGTGTATTCAATCTCTAAGTATCCTAATATTACTATCAGGTTATTTCTGAAATTTCGATACATTTTTGGACATCGCAGGAATTCGAATACTCCAAAAAAGCACAATGCAAACGGTGCCGTCGGAAAACATCGTTGTAGGGTTTGCGCACGTGGCACCACTGCACAGGGTGGTAAATTCAATAGGATCGGTGTAATTAAGAGCCATTTCTACACGATTTTCCCTCGGTAGGGTGGAGGGAAGTAGCAAATAGGGGCGAACAGTAGGGGTGGTGGGACGTGTACAGTAGGGTGAACCCTCGGTGAACGTTCGGCACAGAAGCATCGAGTGCACCCATGGAAGAATTTAAATTGGTATCGATAGCTGCTCGTGGAATGCAGAAATCGTTTCGTCATGGAATGTGGATGTTGTTACGTCATACGATCGGTATTTCAGCAGCGAATCGGTGACGAAAAGAATGCACTTCTGTGGAAATTACCATTTTTAAAATAGCTTTGATAACCGGTGTTTTACTTATGAGTCATATACATATTTATGTATTTTAATGCAACGTGTGAATGTTACATTAAATGCAACATATGAATGTTATATTACATGTAATATACACATGTTATATTGAATGTAACATTTAAATGTTACATATAAATTGTACGTTTAATGTTACATATTAATGTCACATTAATGTAACATATGAGTGTTTCATGTTCACATATGGATATTACATTTAGTATCATATATTAAACACGTATTAAATGTCACATTTAATGTAACATATGAATGCTATATTGAATGTAACATTTAAAGGTTACATATGAATATTGTATTTTATGTCACATATTAAATTTCACATTAATGTAGCATATGAATGTTTCATGTTAACATATGAATATTACATTTAATGTCACATATGAAATGTCATATTAATGTAACATATGAATGTTATATTGAATGTAACAGTTAAATGTTATATATGAATATGACATTTAATATCACATATTAAATGTCACATTAATATGACATATGAATGTTTCATGTTAACATATGAATATCATATTGAATATAACATTTAAATGTTACATATGAATATTGCACTTAATGTCACATATTAAATGTCACATATGAATGTTTCATATTACATATGAATAGTAGTTTTTGATTAAGTGCTTTAACCACCATCTTAAACGACGAATAACATATCAAACTAACATATGAAATAACATGTTTAGTATATAGAAATATCAACTAATCAACTAAAGATCATTGAATAATAGCTTTTAGTGAATAATTCATTAGATACTCGTTGACGAGTTAATTAGCACGTGTCGATCTAACAAGATCATAATCACACAACGTGAATTTTATTCAGTTCAACTCGCTCTGTTTAACGTGCGGGTTCAGACCAACATTCGGAATGTGCTTTCCAAGGGTATGATTGATTACACAGCATTAACGTTAAGCCTGAGTTACACACTTCTCTTCATACAAATCCTGATCCACGTAATATATTATCGCAGCCTGCTTCGAACAGGTTCCCTTTCTCTTTTCTGCGAGAGGGAAAAGAACAAATTAGTCGGAAAATGATACCCTTCGTCGTAATCGCTCGTAAAAGCAACCCAGTATCAGATAAATATCAAAGCTTACTTCTCTAACAACATTTTCTAAAACCCTTTTTTCTATTAATTGCAAATGATCAATGATTTAAAAATAGACTATTTGCTGTTTTCTGACAGAAGTAATCTGTTGGTTTCAACAATCAAGCGTCTATTTTGCACTCGGTAATGCAAAAGAGTCTAAGGGGATTCGGTTCGAAAATCCCTGCAGCTCCGTCCAAAATTAACATACTCTTAAATCTGCATAATGCGCCAACCTGCTTGGCTTATCTCGATTCGCACGCTGCACTGTTTGTTTTTCCTATCTCGCTGTGGAACCCGTTTCACCCCAGAAACTCCGAACGTATGCAACAAACATCACAAAATTCGACTTTCTTCTTTTTCAGCAAAATTTATAGTCATCTTTTTATTATCAGAGGCCACTTTTATAGAAAAACTTCTTCGAACATACAGAATGCACTTTCGAGATAAACCAATAACAAAAAAATAACGAAAGAAATGTGGTTTGTTGAATTATGTACTTCATGGATGATCGTTGCATCTGCATGGAACAAATCTCATCCAGTTTTCTGCAGTTTGTTTTCCTACATCGGTTTGAGAGCCTCTGCAAACAATCTAGTCGCGCAGCGACGCGTGTGACGCGCAAAATGCGGGCGCTTCGGACCATCGACCCTCCTCTACCCTTGACTGAAGCACGACCCCGATACTCCTGGAAAAATGGAGAGAGAAAAGAGAACTGAGAGACGTCTTCTCCTACACCCTAAAACCGGACGCGTGCCACGATCCACAGACCAAGATAATTGCGAGTTACACACCGACAAACGGCTCTGATATCGCTGCCCGATAGGCCGCTGTGGGGATGACTTTTGTCTGGAGATTCTCGTGTCTCCAGACTGTTTGGAGTATCGGATTAAAGATTTAGAAATTGGGGATTGATATGTAGAGTGTTTGGGATTTTGATGAAAAATTGTTTCATCGGGTGTAACATATGAGTGCTTATAACATATGAGTATTTATATGCAAACACATCTGCAACAAATATAACCTCAATATCATAGTAGAAGATGGGGATGATTTTTGTCTGGAAATTCTCGTCTCCAGACTGTTTAAAGTATCAGATTGGAGATTTGGAAATTGGGGATTGATATGTAGAGTGTTTGGGATTTTGATGAAAAATTGTTTCATCGGGTGTAACATATGAGTGCTTATAACATATGAGTATTTATATGCAAACACATCTGCAACAAATATAACCTCAATATCATAGTAGAAGATGGGGATGATTTTTGTCTGGAAATTCTCGTCTTCAGACTGTTTAGAGTATCAGATTGGAGATTTGGAAATTGGGGATTGATATGTAGAGTGTTTGGGATTTTGTAAAAAAATTGTTTCATTGGGTGTAACATATGAGTGTTTATATGCAAACACATATGCAAGAAACATAACCTCAACATCATAATTGGTCTTCAAAAATATAAACATCCCACAATTGCTTCGAAAAGTACTTCATGTGTAGAACAAGATGAATTTAATAATAGAAAAATATGAACAGTTCATACATAGAAAAATATGTGCATATAGAAAATATCACATATGGAAGATGTCTAAATCGTATGTAATAAAATATCCCTTTCTGACACATGAGTTTTACCATAAAAAATCTTGAAATTCTGTAGTGGTAAGGTATTTCAGAAAGATATTTTCCAGCATAAGGTGCACCAACGTATTTGCTGGAAATTTATGTTACAATGATACAGGATTTCTGTGCACCCTTCGAACTCGTATCCTATCATTCTCTAAAATAACGTAGATCCCTTGATCCCAAGAATTGATGGATTCACTCCATTGAATATCCGGCCACGAAAAGACTTTTTCCCCCGGGTGCACGATAACCTCGGCAACCTTTGATAAACCAAGAAACACATCGGTGAGAAAGCTCGTAACGTTTCCTGCAACACCATGTTTCTTTCGTCCCCAAGCATTTCCTAAATACTGAAACTAGAGACGACAATGAGAATTTCTGGGGTCGATGCTCAGACATTTTAATCTTCGGGTATTACGTTGTGATTGACATATAACGCCACTATTTTAGGGGCTAAATGCTCCCCTTGACGCGTCTGGTGGTCTTGATCACGATTTTCCCAGTGGAAATGCTTGTGGGAGCATACTGGATGCCTTGAAACAATGCTCTAAATATTGAAACTTGCAATTTACAAATTTTGAGTATTAGGTATTTCGGGTTGTTATACGGTCAATTCATAGCTAAGTTTTTTAAGTTACAGTTCTTACATTTTTTCATTTTTGAAATCTGATGTTCTGTGTTCTTTTTAATTCATTTCATATTCAGTATCTAATCATTTCTTAAATTGAAGTTTCAATTCTCTTTCCACGTTCTTAAAGACTCAATTACTTAAATTACGAATTTCCAAAGTCTTAAATTCCTAATTCGAAAATTTTCAAATCTGGAAATTTGCAAACTCCTAATTTCTAAGTTTCCATATTCCCACTTCCAAAATTCAAAAATTTCAATGTTAAGTACCCAAACCCCACATGTCTCAAACTCCCAATCTCCCACATTTCCAAAACACCAAATTCCCAAAATTCTAAACTCCATTCCTCCATCTCCCAATTCCCAAAATCCTAAAGTTCACTTCCAAAGCCACCACATCTCCAAGACACCAAATTCGCAAAATTCTAAACTCCACTCCTCCATCTTCCAATTCCCAAAATCCTAAAGTTCACTTCCAAAGCCACCACATCTCCAAGACACCAAATTCGCAAAATTCTAAACTCCACTCCTCCATCTTCCAATTCCCAAAATCCTAAAGTTCACTTCCAAAGCCACCACATCTCCAAGACACCAAATTCCCAAAATTCTAAACTCCACTCCTCCATCTCCCAATTCCCAAAATCCTAAACTCCATTCCTTCATCTCCCAATTCCCAAAATCCTAAACTCCATCTCCCAATTCCCAAAATCCCAAACTTCACTTCCAAAGCCACCACATCTCCAAGACACCGAATTCGCAAAATTCTAAACTGCACTCCTCCATCTCCAAATTCCCCAAATCCCAAACTTCACTTCCAAAGCCACCACATAACAGCAAAGTGCAAAGTTCCCGAAGTTCCACAACGCAATATGGCAAGCGTAATTGTTCGGGCAATAAATCAAGGCTGTTATTGTAATTTCGGTGCGAGCGGTGATTGTTCGAAGACGGCTTCCAGTAGCGGAGTAATTAATAAAGCTGACATGGCACGTGTCCAAAAATTATAGCAGCATTCGTGGCCTCGACACCGACGAAGGATGGACGTTAAAGGCACGCGGGTCGAAAGCGGGAAGAGAGCTTTAAGCTGCTGGCTGAGTACGTTGTCATCCGCTCTGCTGAACATCACGCTAGGATCAGGGTTAATGCTTCGCTTCGACGGGAGACTTCTGATGTGTCTAGGGGAACTACAGTTCTACTGTTTCTCCTCTGTTACACTAAATTTTATTTCTATATTGACTTTCCATATGTTGCGTATTTGCAATTTTGAAAAATTGTTGTATTTTAACCTTTCAGTTTGATCCTCCAGTTTTGTCCAAACTGTGGTCCACAAATTTTTAACTCTGAGACTGTATACATTTCTGAATCCGTATTTTTACCAATAAATCAGAAAACCTATAGTTTCCCTAACTACTTAGTTATTATAAATTTTCTGTTTTCTCTTTTTCAGGCCACCCTCATTTCTTCAACCAATTATCCTGCGGTTTGGATCTTGTGTCGATGGCTGGCGAGTGGCTGACAGCGACGGCGAATACGAACATGTTCACCTATGAAATTGCACCGGTGTTCATTTTGATGGAGCACGTAGTGTTGCAGAAAATGAGGGAACTCATTGGGTGGAGCGGTGGCGACTCCATATTGGCTCCAGGTGGTTCCATCAGCAATCTTTACGCTTTTCTTGCCGCGAGACATAAGATGTTCCCCAGTTACAAGGAACGGGGTCTTTCGGCTATCGGTGGACAGCTGGTTATGTTCACGTCTGATCAGGTATGTATTATGCTACTTTCTTCGTTAATTAACTACTGAGTTAACTACGTTATACAAGTTAACTACACATAAAACGTCAGATAGTAAAAATCTATCAAATTGCGATAATAAAAATAATCTTTCGCTTGTTTGTTATTTTATGTTGCTAGATTATAATTATTATTATCATTAGTCAAAATTTCTAACTGTACTGTTTGAATATTATGGTAGTGTATTTGTAAAATGAACATCAACCACATAATCTATAAACTATACAGTATCTATTAAATTAGTCTTCTCAAATTATGATTAGTCTTCTAAGATACATGATTTAATACTTTGCAAACCTCAATGTACATAAATTCATAAACATTTATAGTAACAACTGATTCGTTCAGTGTACTATACAGGCTGTGTCACAATTAGTGTAGGTCCCAGGAATGCACTACAATTTTACTCTTCAATAGTACTACAATTTTATTATTTATGATTTAAAACTTCACAAAGCTTGATATATATTAATTCATGAACCTCTATAGCTACAATTAATTCATTCAGTGTACTATACAGGGTGTCTCATAATTAGTGTAGGTCCCTGAAATGCACTACAATTTTATTATTTATGATTTAAAACTTTACAAAGCTTGATATATATTAATTCATGAACATCTATAGTTATAACTAATTCCTTCAGTGTTCTATACAGGGTGCTTCACAATTAATGTAGGTCCCTGAAATGCACTACAATTTTACTCTTCAATTGTACTACAATTTTATTACTTATAATTCAATACTTTGAAGACTTTGATATATTAATTCATGAACATCTATAGCTATAACTAATTCCTTCAGTGTACTATACAGGCTGTCTCACAATTAGTGTAGGTCGCTGAAATGTACTACAGTTTTACTCTTCAATTGTACTACATTTTTATGATTTATGATTCAATACTTTGAAGACCTTGATATATTAATACATAAACATCTATAGCTATAACTAATTCCTTCAGTGTACTATACAAGCTGTCTCACAATTAGTGCAGCTCCCTGAAATGTACTGCAATTTTACTCTTCAATTGCACTACAATTTTACTCTTAAATTGTACTACAATTTTATTATTTATAATCCCATACTTTGAAGACCTTAATATATTAATTCATGAACATCTATAGCTATAACTAATTCGATCAGTGTTACAATTAATGTACTACAATTTTACTCTTCAATTTTATTCATCTTTTAATAATTATTCAATTACATGAAGTTTATCTGGACCATCCACTAACGTGTATCAATCGTCGTGATTCTGTCAGAACATTTTGAGATTGTGCATCGTGTTGAACAGTGCCACTATTCGGTGAAATCGTGTGCCGCGGTTTGTGGACTGGGAACAGACAACTGCGTGATGGTTCCCAGCGACGAACGCGGACGTATGATTCCGTCGAAGCTGGAGGAACTCATCCTGGAACGTAAAGCCAAAGGACACATTCCCTTCTTCGTGAACGCCACCGCTGGAACGACCGTCATTGGTGCTTTTGATCCCATTCCTGAAATCGCTGATATCTGCCAAAGACACAAGCTCTGGCTACACATCGACGTAAGTAAATTTTTAACAAAGACAAAAATATTTAATAAGTTTGAGAGATAATAATTTTTAAGTTTCAAGATAAAGTTTTAAAAATATTTAATAAGTTTGAGAGATAGTAACTTTTAAGTTTTAAGATGTGTCTTAAAAATATTTAATAAATTTGAAAGGTAATAAGTAGAAATTCATTTATCTGTTTTATTTATAAAATTTAAAAGCAATAAGATAAAATTTGCATTATCATCTATGTTCTCTAATGTTTTAACAAGGAACGATTCATTTATTTTTTCACTGATCAGATTTTACAATAATTACTGTTATTGAAAACACTCTTGTTTTAATCGAACGAAAAATACAAGAACGAAAGCGATTGAAAGTTAGGAAGGGACAGAGATTTCCACTTAGCCAGACAGCTTATTCAAATCGCTTCACCGTTCGGACGATAAATGCCAAACACGTAAGAGCCTTAACTTAAATAATAAATGTGGGAATCGTCATGTCGAGGGTGTAGAGGCATCACGGGGTAAATTGAGGGAAATTTCGGAAAATCTCGGATTTACGAGTCAACTGCTGTCTTTAACACAGAGTACACCAAATAAAATCACTCGATGAACACATATTTTTTTAAGGTTAGGTTTAACCTCTTGCCGTAAAATTTGTCAGATGCGTCAGTCGAAACTAACTACTCATAATGTTTAAACAAACAATAAAAATTAAAGTGTCGTGAATATTTTATATTCAGCGATCTTCAATAACGCAAATTATAGTTGCACCTAAATTTTGAGTTGAAGAGTATTAACAATTTTAATAAAATTTGTTATATTTGAGCTCTGAGTGCGTCACGAATGGAACTGGTCAAAGTACAACAAGGGGTTAAAATTGTATCATCTTTTGCTTAATTTTTTATTCATGATGTATACAGTTGAATCTGTCTCAAAAAATTAAAGTTATAGACTAGCTTGTTAATCTACTTCACAGTTTAAGTGCACCCTAAACTTTTAAAGAGATAAATCAAGAGAATAAATTCGTTTTGCAGGCGGCTTGGGGTGGTGGACTGCTTCTCTCAAGAAAATACAGACATCCCAGATTGACCGGCATCGAACGGTGAGTGCAACAAAATACAAAATTTCTATAAACAATCTCAGCTGAAAGCATTACATTCACCCCTAAATTGTTCCTCACAGTTGATGGGTCTTTTTCCGATCAACGAGAAACACCTCCACATGTGCTTTCCAGAGGGGTGCCTTAATCCTCGCACTTTATAGTTTATTGAGGCTTAGTTTGATGGAGTCACTCAGAAAGAAGACACAGACACACGCAGCAGGTTCAACCTGCAGTCTTAGAGCTGTGTTTATGAAGGGCAAAATCGATATTGCCAAGCTGGGGAGGCATTTTCGAACAATTATTTTGCATGAGAATAGAAAGTGCTTTTTATGGAGGAACTCGTAAAAAATTTTGTGACAGCGTTATGATTGGTTCTAAAATTTTTAGATGCAAAGTCAAAGTTCCTGAGTTCTGAGTCTCATGAAGCCTTCTCAGAATTTCAAATTTACAGAAACGGCGAGGGCTTCTAGATTATCAATTCTGTTTTTAGAAGTCCTTAAACTACTCTTACAATTCTGAAATCCACAATTATCAAATTCTACAATTTTCGAAGTTGCTAATTATCAAAGTTTGTGATTCTCAACGTCCCAAAATTTCAATTTTCTGATGTGAAAAATTCTCTTTCCTAAGTCTAGAATTTCTAAAGTCCAAAAATTTCAACTTACCAATGTCCAAAATTTTGAAAGGACCAAATTCCCATATTTCCAAACTCCCAAATTCCCAAATTCCCAAACTCCCAATCTCTCAAATTTCCAATCTCTCAAATTCCCAATCTTTCAAACTCTCACTCTCCCAAATTCTCACTCTCCCAAATTCCCACTCTTCCAAATTCCCAAACTCCCAAATTCCCAAATTCCCAAACTCCCAATCTCTCAAATTTCCAATCTCTCAAATTCCCAATCTTTCAAACTCTCACTCTCCCAAATTCTCACTCTCCCAAATTCCCACTCTTCCAAATTCCCAAACTCCCAAATTCCCAAATTCTCAAATTCCCAAATTTCCAACCTCCCAATCTCTCAAATTTCCGATCTCCCTAATTTCCTATCTCTCAAATTCCCAATCTCTCAAGTTCTCAATTTCTCAAATTCTCACTCTCCCAAATTCCCACTCTTCCAAATTCCCAAACTCCCAAATTCCCAAATTCTCAAATTCCCAAATTTCCAACCTCCCAATCTCTCAAATTTCCGATCTCCCTAATTTCCTATCTCTCAAATTCCCAATCTCTCAAGTTCCCAATTTCTCAAATTCTCACTCTCCCAAATGCCCCATCTCCCAAATTCCCACTCACCCAAATTCCCAAACTCCCAGATTCCCAAATTCCCAACCTCCCAATCTCTCAAATTTCCTATCTCTCAAATTCCCAATCTCTCAAACTCTCACTCTCCTAAATGCCCCATCTCCCAAATTCCCAAATTCCTAAACTCCCAAAGTCCCAAAACTCCAATATCTCAAAACTAAATTTAAAAAATCTTCTGTACTCCCTATTACACAAAGAAGTCAACCTATCCACCACAAAAGAATCCTCTCCACATCCTCTACACAGTACTCTGAAATTAGACAGGCGAAACCTTGATTGATTGATGCGAAAAGAGGATACCTGTAGGCTATTCGTGGCCAGTGTCGTAATCCGTAAAATCGAGGGGTTCTCGAAAGAAAGGAGTGACTCCTGTCGTAGGCACATGCGAACTTTCGCATACACGTCCGCAAGAGCGATGCTCGACCCCTCGTTGCAATGGGGGTCAGGGATAGGCCGATTCGAGCGTAGTTCGGATGGGGTTGGCGAGATTAATCCACGATTTGCATCCGGCCGCATCTGCTCCCTTCATTCAGCGACAGACAGTCCCTGACCCGAAAAAAAGTGGCACGAGGCCTAGGAAAATGATTTTCTAGGGAAAAGTCGCATATCGAGTGCCCTCGCTGTTTTTCCGCCTCACGAAATTCGTTTGAAGTAGCTGATGCTGAATATTAATAATCTATGTGTGATTTCGAATGAATAGCTTGCTTCCCTATTCGAGCGTACAGGCTTTTTGAAGGCATGACAGTTGAAGGCTTTTTGTGGAGTCAAGGATGTGTCTTTATTTTTGTTTTTTGAGGTACGAGGCTTTTATGGAAGGTGAAGGTTTTGGAGGTAGTTTTATACTTTCAATGTCTGATGATATTACTTTGAATTGTTAGTATAGGTCTGATATGTGTCTTTTATAGGGGATGAAGGTTTTGGACTTAGTTTTAATTATACTTTCAATACTTCATGCTATTACTTTGAATTGATGCTACAGATCTTGATACGTGTGTTTTATAGAGGATAAAGATTTTGGAGATAGTTTTATACTTTCAATACCTCATGCTATTACTATGACTTATTGCTACAGGTCTGATAAGTGTCTTTTATGAAGGATGAAGGTTTTGGAGTTAGTTTTAATTATACATTTAATACCTCATACTTTGTATTATTACAAGAGTGATATTAATGAAGTTATTCTTCGTTGTTTGTCTCTTCATTGTTTCATTATATCTACTGATGATCTATGACCTTGATGAAGTATACCTTAATAATTTTCCTTAATATTCGTTGTCAATAGCTACTTCATTAGCTGCTAACTCTTTCTCGTATGATTGCTAGACTAGCTTCTAAAAAGCTTCCTCTGGTTCCCAGTCTCCATGCAGAATTTTCGAGTTCCAAAAATGAGACAAAATGGTGATCGCAGCAGAGACTGTACCTCGCGAGGACTTCCTTCCTGAAGGTCTTGATTAAAATGGCAAACGAAAAGTCCGAAGGACGAGCAACAGCTGGATCAGTTCCCTGGAGCGCATTTGCAGAACAGAACTCTCCTCTTTATATATCGACGCGGCGCCGCATCGTTCCGTGCCTTCCGCGGGCCTGAAATAAAAGACCGTGTCTCGACAATGCTGGATTAAACTCGTACAAAGGGAACAGCTTCCCTCATTCTCTCGTTGTCTGTACTCTGTCCTCCCCAACCTCTGTATTCCTCCTTCAAACAGTGTATAGGCTCGAGAAAGGAGCAACGGAGACGAAAAGCAGAAAGAGAGAACGTCGCGACAAAGTCAGAAATGATTACGCGTAAAAGGTGGGCCGGAACGAGCAAGGTCTGCAAGTCGGAAGTTGAATGTTTCCCTTCTCTGCATTCCGCTGCTTTGTCGCACGCAACTTTGCGTTTCTGTTTTCTACGAATCACTATTCTTGATTATTCCGTTTTACTTCGATGATTGACGTGATTCTGAGGAGATTCTGTGTTACTTCTTTAACACTAAAACTACCTAACCGCTCCACAAGTTTCTTATTATAAGGAACATATTTTGTTAAAATATATTTCTTGAAATCAGAATTGATTTTCATTAAGATGAAGAATAAGTGTGTGTACTAATTTATATTTCGTCGTTTGTTTATTCATTTTTAATTTCAAATTGAGTAGACATTATATGCCGGTAGGTTTAGTGTTAATACATTGTATACCTTGTTAGTTGGTACCAATGTACCTCCACTAGATTCTTTATCATGATATCGGTTTTAAAGCAGTAAGTTCCACTTCTACTTTCGAGGATAATTAGCAACCCCCGTAATATATATTGCGCGGCTTTTGGGCTTGGCACCTACGACGAATTTAAGAGTGAACGGAGGGGTGCACGCGCCAGCCCCAGCTGCGAATCGCATTAATCACTCTGAGCTTTATGTTCGGACATTATGCATAGCGCTCGCGTTTTTTAACTAATAGAAAATCAAGGCTAATCCCCTGTTTCGTGAAAACAAGCTGTATTTTATCAGCTAAATTAACACCATCGTAGTAATTATTCTACACAACGTCATATTATGTAGCTAACCTAACCGCTATGATATGTAGCTTAAGTGCATATGACTCTGACACCTCGAATGCAATTGTAAGTTTTCTACTGTTGCATTATGTCTGTAAAAACGTAACTGAGCACATTAAATCTGGCGACACAAGTGTTCATACAGCGACAAACCCTGAAGAGGATGCAGAAGAGTGACTAATGGCAAACGCCTGTCGCCGACACGAATCTCTTTTCCTGACTGTTTCGAGGACCCTCGCTTCATCCACAGCGAGGTACACTGTCACGATATATGTGTCACTTGCCAAGTATCGATAACGTTTGTCACGAAGCAAACGCATGTAACGTGTCTGCCCACATGTGTCTGCATCTACTTACGCAGTTTATGAACCTGGTGAAAAGTTGGTAGTATAATTTCTGTTATTGTAAGTACGCTTCAAATTTTAATTTCTGTATTAGTACTTCAAACATTTGTTCAAATACTTCCTTGCACAATTCAAATTCTACACATATGTACATTTTTGTGGACGAATATTTCAAACAGAGCACTTGAAAGTAACATTTTGAGGGTTACATTGAAAGTAACTCTTTTCAAATTAAATGCAGACATCGATAAAAGTAAGGTCACAGAAGTTACAAATTTAAAGTTGTGTAATAGACAAACTACCCTTAAGAAAATGTTGAGAAATGCTTCACCTTGTACAATTCAAATTCACATACATTTAACTGGAGGAATACAAACAGAGCACTTGAAAGTAACATTTTGAAAGTTACATTGAAAGTAACTCTTACCAAATCAAATGCAGACATCGATGAAATTAAGGTCACAGAAGTTACAAATTTAAAATTGTATAATAGACAAACCACCCCTAAAAAAATGTTCAAAAATGCTTCACCTTGCACAATGCAAATTCACCTACATTTAACTGAACAAACACCGAGCACTTGAAAGTAACATAACTCTATTCAAATGCATCGATCAAATTAATGTCACAGAAGTTACAAATTTAAAATTGTCTAACTACCCCTAAAAAGATGTTCAGAAATTCTTCACCTTGCACAATTCAAATTCACCTACATTTAACTAGACGAATATTTCAAACAGAGCACTTGAAAGTAACATAACTCTATTCAAATGCATCGATCAAATTAAGATTACAGAAGTTAAAAATTTAAAATTGTCTAACTACCCCTAAAAAGATGTTGAGAAACGCCTCACCTTGCACGTGATAGGAACGAGCACTTGTTGAACGAGTGCATAGGAAATTAGCGTCAAGTATCACGCAGCTTCTCACGTTTCGTGCCAGCAAGGATTAAGAAGGGTTAAAGGCTTTTTTACCGCAAGGGTGTGTCTCCTAGAGGGTTAAATCCAATCCCGTGGCTATATTAATAGTCCTCTCGAATTGATGGACCCCATACGGCACCAAGGGAAGATAACTCATATTTTATCCCCCATTGGTCCCCGTGGGAGTCGATAACCGTTTGACAACCAGCTGAGCACTTGCCTTTTTTCAGCCACCTTAACCATCTTTGATAAAATTCACAGGTTTAACAAAATTGACAAGTTCAATAAAATTTACCAACGCTTCTAATTCCTAGCAACAAGTTATCCTTGCAATATTCGGACAATAATTTTCTTCAGACTAATAGTTTCCAAAATTACATAGCTGGGGTAATGTTCACAGAGCGGACTCCGTGACCTGGAATCCACACAAACTCATGGGTGCGTTGCTTCAGTGCTCGACCATTCACTTCAAGGAGGACGTAAGTCAGAAAAATTGCATTTCAAATTATGCAAAAGCAAAATTATGAGAAATTATTCGAGTCTTGTTCAGAATTTTTCACGTCCACCGTGTCAAACATTATCGACGGACCAAGATCGTGGTCCAAGCGAAATTCCGATCTCCTGGAAGGGTGATGACACAACAGTGGCTGCATTCCGAGGGGTAAACGTACACGTCGGAACGCAGCACTGCAGGAATTTAATTAAACTAAGAGATAACATATGTTACCAACCGTACCACGACGGTTTGCCCGAGGGTTTGCCCCTCCACGTTCGCCTGGTTATTGCTAACTCAGAACTTCCCTTTCGGATATTAAAATTCCGTGCACCGGCTGCCGCCAAACGTTTTGACGGGGGTTGTACACACTTCTTTCTCCGTTATCGTTACTTTCTTTCTGTACAAAGAAAATTCGGTGACCATATTTTTATAGTAAATAAGTTGAAATGAAAATACATTGAAAGATTTTCAGGTTAAGGTTAATTGAGAAATGCATCGTTGAGAGAAGATAATTTTATCTTAAATTAATATTAATTTAAATTAAAGTTGACACATGAACTTCCTTCTAATATTCAATATTTTATAACAATAACGACATTAAAATCCAATAAATTCTGAACTTGAAATATATTTATTATATTTTTGCAAAAGGAGGGAAATTGTTTTGGGCTTTCAATTTATTGCACACCCTTCGGAAGGGTTAGCCTCCAAGCTTCCAATTAACTTTTACGACGCGAGACGCGAAGAATCGGCGATTCGTGAGAGGACAATGGCGCACGGAAGGGCGGTTGAGTTTCAGTCGCCATTTTGTAAATTCAATATCCCTCAGTTTCCCTCTTTCTGCGCATGAGTTGAGCTCGTCCATATCGACCAGGCCGCGTATCTCTCTGCTTTGTTTGTTCCTTTTCGCGCCTGTCAATCAGAAACTTTCCGAACATGACTCGAAAACGCTCATTGTGATCCGTAGAACGGAGATGGAAAAAAAAAGAGGCAGACAAACCAGACGCGATGTTTCTACCCCTCGATGCATCCGCCTCTTTATTTTGCAGGGCCTGTTGATTAGCTGCAACCAAATGTCCGCTGAGTATTTGTTCATGACAGACAAGTTGTACGATGTTAAATACGACACTGGTGATAAGGTGATTCAATGCGGACGTCATAATGACATCTTTAAACTCTGGTTGCAATGGCGGGCTAAGGTAAATAACCTCAGTTGGTATTGATTTGTATTTCTGAAGAGTCAATTCATATTTCAATTTGAAAGTTTTACTGATTTGATTCTGAAAGTTTTACTGGGTGGATGTTTAATTTCTAATGTCATTTGATGTGACACATATGGATGTTTAATTACTAATGTCACTGGATGTGACACATATGTGGATGTTTAATTTCTAATTTCATTGGATGTGACACATATGTGGATGTTTAATTTCTAATGTCATTGGATGTGATACATATGTGGATGTTTTATTTCTAATGTCATTGGATGTGACACATATTTGGATGCTTAATTTCTAATTTCATTGGATGTTTAATTTCTGATGTCATTGGATGTGACACATATGTGGATGTTTAATTTCTAATGTCATTGGATGTTTAATTTCTGATGTCATTGAATGTGACACATATGTGGATGTTTAATTTCTAATGTCATTGGATGTGACACATATGTGGACGTTTAATTTCTTTCACATATGTGGATGTTTCTTTCTGAGTTCAAAGATCATATATTATCATTGCTTTTTAATATTATAAATTCTTTTTAATATTATAAATGAGGTCATTTCTTTTTTTTTGACATTGAGAAGATCATGCTGAAGAAACTGAAATATTTGGAGGATCAAGTGATGATATTTTGATGGGTACCATTTATATCACAAGGGTTGCTTCTGTGTTCCAGGGAACAGAAGGTTTCGAGAAGCACATGGATCGATTAATGGAACTTTCAGAGTACATGGTCAGGCGGATTAAGCAGATGCCTGACAAGTATTACTTGATACTTGAACCTGAAATGGTGAACGTTTGCTTCTGGTACCTGCCAACGCGCGTTAGGAATATGCCACACACCGCTGAGAGGATCAAAATCATAGCAGATGTGAGATTCACTTTATGACACTAAAACTTTTCTGACTTAAATAGACTTCATAGATCAATACACATGTCGATACTATACTACCAAGATATGTACACTGTCAGTTAATGTGTACCCACAAATTATTAACAATTATGGATAGATTTATTATACACCAATGAAACTTGTACCTCTTGAATATGATTAATAAGAAATTTTTGGAAATATCTTGTGTGTCTAAGTTGATAGTTAAAATCACACAATTATTATTGGTTCTATTTGTCAGAAGTATATTAAAGATATTTTTGACACAAAAGTCCTGTAAGATTAAGGAAAAGCATGTTTGTAAATTGACAGTCAAAATCATACAATTATTGATTCAACCTGTCAGAAGTATATTAAAGATATTTTTGATACAGAAGTCCTGTAAGATTAAAGAAAAACATGTTTGTAAATTAACAGTCAAAATCATACAATTATTGGTTCAACCTGTCAGAAGTATATTAAAGATATTTTTGATACAGAAGTCTTGTAAGATTAAGGAAAAACATGTTTGTAAATTAACAGTCAAAATCACACAATTTATTGAGCCAACTTGTCAGCATTGTATTAAAGATATTTTTAAGACAATAATCCTGTAAGGTTAAATAAAACATATCTGACAAGTTCTAAAATGAATAAAAAACTGTATGTTCGCAGATATGTCCTATTTTGAAGGGTCGAATGATGCAAGCAGGTACGTTGATGGTCGGCTACCAACCCGACGATCGACGACCCAACTTCTTCAGGAACATCATCTCGAGTGCCGCCGTAACGGAAGCGGACGTCGACTTCCTGCTGGCCGAGATGGACCGGTTAGGCCACGACCTGTAAGAAACCTGCCTATTTTAATTAGCCGCGTAATCAGCGACTGATATCGCGACGTAGCATCGAAAGTGATTCCTGCTGATATTAGAGATTCGAGCAGGATATTCGCGTCGCGTTTCATTACGTGTACAAAATCCGGAGGCCAATTTCGAGGATCGCAATCATGGTTAATAATTTAAGACGTGAGCTGATTCTCTCCTTTTTCTTCAAATGAACATATCTACTTCTGAAACTATTCTCTTTTTATTTTTGGGTGATCGGTAGTACGAATGTAATAAAGTAATCGATATATTTTAATTATATCTTTGTTACGGGGAAGGTATCCCACCGATTTTAATAATAGTAGATGAAAAGATGATTTCTGTTTCTTCATAGACTTTTATCTCGTGCTGAATTATTTAGCGAATTTTTGTATAGTCTTAATTGTATTCAAAGGTGATTTAATTATTAATATCGGTGTTCGATACCTTTCTCGTTAGATTAATGTCAATCTGTCAACATCGATTCACGAAATTTACCATAGCCGTCAATTTTGAAGATAATAGTTTAATATATCTTCAATATTTTGAAGATAAAGTCTAGAGAGATTGTAATAGAAGAGTCGTGAAATATAACCTTGAACTATACAAGAAACTTTCGAGCTTGAAATTGAAGACAGAGAGAGAGTCAGTGAACGAATCATCATCAGTTCGTAGTTACGAGAAACGCTTGTTCAACATAATTACAAAACACAGCTACTGAACATCAGAAAGGATACTCATAGCACGTAAGTTCTCTAGGTGTAAGGAACAGCATACAGCATATCCGTGAAACGAAGAGTCAACTTACAAAGCTCTAGCGACGCTTCCGGCCGTAAATGTTACTAGTTTTCATTCCTCGATGCTACACGTTCTCGTTAAATGACAAACAGTAGCAACGAGTCGTAAACGATAGTGAAATAATAGTTATGCTTCGATAGCTATCTTGTTTAGGTTCAATTGAGTTTAATTCGTCGATAAGTTTCAGCTGCGTTAGCCTGGTCTCTTTGGCCCCGCAAGACCCGTTTCGGGATTTAAGAATTCGATCGTTGGTTTAAGTGAAATGTTTAATAGTGAAAACCGTGGTTCTCAAATTTGGAGTAATTTTTGTTGAAATTTCGAATTGGAGGTGAATGTGTTTCTGGTGGGTTGGCAGTGATGAGCAACGTATTTGGAAATTTGGAAGTTGATATTTAGAAATTTTCAATTACACAATTTTCTATTTCCCCAAATTCCAAATTCGCTAGATTCCAAATTCCTCAAATTCCAAATTCCCCAAATTCCAAATTCCCCAAATTCCAAATTCCCCAAATTTCAAGTTTCCCAAATTCCAAATTCCCTAGATTCCAAATTCTCCAAGTTCCAAAATTCCCAAATTTCAAATTCCCCAAATTCCAAATTTCCCAAATTCCAAATTCCCCAAATTCCAAATTCCCCAAATTCCAAATTCCCCAAATTCCAAATTCCCCAAATTCCAAATTCCCCAAATTCCAAATTCCCCAAATTCCAAATTCCCCAAATTCCAAATTCCCCAAATTCCAAATTCCCCAAATTCCAAATTCCCCAAATTCCAAGTTCCCCAAATTTCAAGTTTCCCAAATTCCGAATTCCCTAGATTCCAAATTCTCCAAGTTCCAAAATTCCCAAATTTCAAATTCCCCAAATTCCAAATTCCCCAAATTCCAAGTTCCCCAAATTCCAAGTTCCCCAAATTCCAAGTTCCCCAAAATCCAAGTTCCCGAAATTCCAAATTCCTCAAATTAGAAATTCCCCAAATTCTCAATCCCCCAAATTTCTATCTCCTCAAATTTCCAGTTCTCCAAATTCTCAATCCCCCAAATTTCAAGTTTCCCAAATTTTTAATTCCCCAAATTTGCAATTTCCAATATTCTCATTCCCCCAAATTTCCAATTCCCCAAATTCCAACCCCCAAAATACCCATTTCCCTAGTTCTCAATTCTCCAAATTCTCAACCCCCTGCATTTCCAAATTTCCAAATTTGTAAATTAAAAAATATAAATAAAGTCTGCAAATATCTCTGCAAACACCGTGCCCATCCAGTGCCCGTGGACTATCCTCCGGGCACTTCTGCCCAACATATTAAAACAATCCAAAAATATTCACAATTACTCACAAAATAATTTAATAATTTTACAAATTCGAAGTCATCGTTCTCTCACGAACGACAAAGTACAAAAGAACATTTCTATCGAAATTCGAGTATAGAATAAAACTCCTCTAGTCACCAATGCACGCAATCCTTTGTTAAATATATTTGTTATCGATTGTTTGCAAGAGTATAGAACGGAATGGCCCGCATTCAAACGTTATTATTTACTGTTGAATTATCACCGAACGGAGAGTAATATTTAATAATATAAATAAATATATATTACATAGGAAACTTGCAAGAAAAGGTATAAATGTATTTGAAGGGAAAAAAAAGATATAAATATATGAAGAACAAAGCGTATATTATATATATAAATATATATATATATTTAGCGTTGAGATTTTAAAATACGAAAACACAAACCCATGAAAGTACATGCTTTTTCAAGTATTCGTGCGAACGGTTGTCATTTAGTTCGTCGATTACCTTTCTACTCTCGTTGAAAAGTCTCGTCTTCTTAGTGATTAGTTTCATAGTTTTAAGAACGAGTTACACATTGACACGGTATTTTTCAAACAATTTGATCGCTAGCTTGTCATCCTCCTTTCATCGAATAAACGATAAACTATGATTTCTGTTGTTCATTTTCGCCCGACGAAAAAATAGCAATCTGTTCGACAAGAAAAGATAAAGAAAGAAACACTCTAAGAACGACTCTATTTCGATTCACGCTCATCGAGTTAACAAAAGAGGATGAATCTAAGCGTAAGTAATTACTAAACGATATCTAGGTGTATATTAATAAGAGATGCGTAAATCTATTTATTGTAAATCTACGAATTTACCTATGTTCTATTTTTCCCGTCGACTTTTACCGAGCCGAGTTTCGTTCGAAGAAGAAGAAATATTGTGTAGAATTCAGGTAAACGAGCCAACGGGGAATTTCGTTTTCGTGTAATTCGTAGCGTTAATATTCCTGTTCCGTAAGGTGAGATCGTTGGATATGAAGGTTGACGGGAGACAGAGATCGAGATATGTATTTTTGAAGAACGTCTGACCATGATACTGATACCTGCAAAAGAAGACACTCTATTGAACCGTTGTTATTGATTATCTACAATTTTATCGGCGTTGTACCTTTTTTTCACATACAGTCGTATACTGCCGACTGAATGGCTGACTTTCGACGAATTCTAGAATCGAAAGATTTATGACATTGATAACGTTAACAATAGACAAGTATGGTGGTGAGTGGACTTTCTTCTAAGTTTGGATTTGGAGATTTTTTTTTATAAGTTGGGATTTGGAGATTTGAGTTTTACTGAGTTGGGAGTTTGGAGTTTTTGGGAATTTTGCTAAGTTGGAGATTTGGAGATTAGGGAATTTGGCTGGGTTGGGGATTTGGAGATTTTGGAATTTTGCTAATTTGGAGATTTGGAGTTTTTGGGAATTTTGCTAGGATGGAGATTTAGAGATTAGGGAATTTTGCTAAGTTGGGGATGTGGACATTTGGGAAATTTGCTAAGTTGGGATTTGGAGATTTGGGAATTTTGCTAAGTTGGGATTTAGAGATTAGGGAATTTTGCTAAGTTGGAAATTTAGGGATTTTGGAATTTTGCTAAGCTGAGTTTTAGGGATCTAAGAATTTTGCTAAATTGGGGATTTGGAGATTTGGGAAATTTGCTAAGTTGGTATTTGGAGATTTGGGAATTTTGCTAAGTTGGTATTTGGAGATTTGGGAATTTTGCTAAGTTGGGATTTGGAGATTTGAGAATTTTACTAAGTTGGGATCTGGAAATTTGGGAAATTTGCTAAGTTGGGGATTTGGAAATTTGGGAAATTTGTAAGTTGGGGATTTGGAGATTTGGGAATTTTACTAAGTTGGGATCTGGAGATTTGGGAAATTTGCTAAGTTGGGGATTTGGAAATTTGGGAAATTTGTAAGTTGGGGATTTGGAGATTTGGGAATTTTACTAAGTTGGAAATTTGGGGATTTTGGAATTTTGCTAAGTTGGGATTTAGGGATCTAAGAATTTTGCTAAATTAGGAATTTGGAGATTTGGGAAATTTGCTAAGTTGGTACTTGGAGATTTGGGAATTTTGCTAAGTTGGGATCTGGAAATTTGGGAAATTTGCTAAGTTGGGATTTGGAGATTTGGGAATTTTGCTAAGTTGGGATTTGTAAACTTGGGAATTTTGCTAAGTTGGGACTTGGAGATTTAGGAATTTTGCTAAGTTGAAAATTTGAGTATTTCACACCTTTACAATTCTTTTGGACTATTTAAGAATTTGTGAACTGCATAATTTGAGAATCTGAGTACTCTTGTTCGCAGATTTCCTACTTTAAAAATTTAAGTAACAGCACTTGAAAATTTTACAATCTAATAATTCTCCATATTTTTAAATTTGAAAGTTTCCAACCTTCAACTACGAAGGAAGTCCACTCCACCCCCACGTACAGTAGCGAAGAATAATATATTTCTATTAAAAAACATTCAAGGACGCGCTTTGACAGATCTGACACTTTGAATACCACGTCAAAATTATAAAAAACACTTCCTAGGATCAGAAATATATCTAATAGCAGAATAACATTAGCAATAACGTCTTGTTACAATTATCCCTTAAAAGTCCTCTCCACAAAGATTGATTTGAAATATTTAACAAAATTATTTACAGTTAAAATATGACGTGGTACTCAAGGTTAATTGCGAATGTAAATGTAAAAAGGACACGACGATTTTGTATATCGTTCTTGTGCCCATTTCTTTTGGAATGAAAAATTTGCACTTACAATGGTTTTGCGGCACACTTTGTTGCACTCAGATGCACCGTTATAAATTGTTAAGTTTAATTTAGTATATATATTATTACACATTTAGTTGTTGAAGAATTACGTTAACTATTTATTTGTTTTTATACACCTTTGATTAACACACTATGCACCGTTGCACACTTTCATTGTCAATTAGAGATGCACTCACATTGGTGTAACTAGAATTCTCCTCTGGGGTGAGTGACTTCACTAAAAATATCAAATATCACTACAAAAAACGTATTTTTATTTTGAGCTACACTAAGAATATTATTGCACTCTTTGTAAATGATATTTCACCCAAATATTTTTATTAACACAAGATTTTTATTGTTTTCGTATTTCAATAATTATGAGTCAGTTTCACCCCAGTTTTCTAGTTACGTCAACGTTGTACAGAATGGAGAAATTGGCACAAGTAATAATTCACGTTGGTCAATTCCTTTCCTCGTGATTTGTCACACAGATAAACCAGGGCCAACAACCCTGACCTCATTATCGTTAATTAGTAGATCTAAGTTGATGGCGATGTAAGGTGAAGAACAACAAAGTCCCACGTCTTCCAAAAAAAAGTATTGAGATTGTTAACGATTTAGAGAGTGCCTCGAGTGCTTCGAGGTAATCTATCCTTTATGCACTGTACGTAATTACAAACGAGAATACATTTATATCTATATACAAATAGGTGAGAATTCTATATAAATTATGTATATGTATGTACACGTGTGCGCGAAGCTCTGTTGGCGATTATAAGAACGAAGGGAGATGGACTGTTTAAAAGATTCGCTCGACGATGTGACGATGTTTGCTTGGTCAACGATCTTGTTGTGTACGACAAGCATCACCTATCCACCTAATTGACCTTATTATCCACTGTATATCAATGTCTAATAAACTGCTGTTATCCCAAACTGTTTATTATTCTCTTTCATCACAAATATTCAGAATTATCGTCGGTTAATGGATACATTTTAATTTTAGGTCAAGGTTTCAGATAGATTTATGTATTTACCAAACCTTCTGAGATTTAATTTGTCCCCTTGAAAATTAAAAAAAAAACATTAATTTTGGCTAATATTTTTTGTTCCAGGTAGGTTTACCTGTTTACTAGAATTTTTTACATGAAAATCCACTTTAAAATTTTCAATATAAAAAATTAATTTTGGGCGAAATTCTGGTTCCAGATAAATTTACCTCTTTAACAAGCCTTCTGAGATGAAATTTATTCACTTGAACATATAAAAAAAAACATTAATTTTGGGTAACATTTTGGTCCCAGATAAATTTACCTCTTTAACAAACTTTTTGAAATGAAATTTACTCATTGAAAATTAAAAAAAAAATTAATTTTAAGTAACATTTTAGGTTTCAGATAAATTTACCTCTTTAACAAACCTTTTGAGATGAAATTTACTCATTTGAAAAGTTAAAAAAAAATTAATTTTGGGTAACATTTTGGTCCCAGACAAATTTATCTCTTTAACAAACTTTTTGAAATGAAATTTACTCATTGAAAATTAAAAAAAAAATTAATTTTAAGTAACATTTTAGGTTTCAGATAAATTTACCTCTTTAACAAACCTTCTGAGATAAAATTTATTCACTTGAAATTAAAAAAAAAATTAATTTTGGGTAACATTTTAAGTCCCAAATAAATTTACTCTTTAACAAACTTTTTGAAATGAAATTTACTCATTGAAAATTAAAAAAAAAATTAATTTTAAGTAACATTTTAGGTTTCAGATAAATTTACCTCTTTAACAAACCTTCTAAGATGAAATCTACTCACTTGAAAATTAAAAAAAGAAATTAATTTTGCGTACATTTTACTTCCAAATAGATTTACCTATTTACGACATTTTGGTCCCAGATAAATTTACCTCTTTAACAAACCTTCTAAGATGAAATCTACTCACTTGAAAATTAAAAAAAGAAATTAATTTTGCGTACATTTTACTTCCAAATAGATTTACCTATTTACCAAACCTTATCAAATTAAATTTATCCACTTGAAAATTTTCTAAAAAAAAATTAAGTAACCGTCACTAATTTCCTGTAAAGTAATCACGCGTGTGTTTGTGGGTGTTCCCACAGAACTACGTAAGATCATGCAATCATTACGAAACATGGGTGTCGACGGATCTGGATATGATAACATAATCATTAAACTCGTTTTTGTTTTACATTTCATACTTCATATTTAACACACAAAAATATCGAGTCCCCAAATATTTTTCCACGTTAAAATACATTATAATACTAATTCAATAATTAAGTAAAAAAACAAGAGGGAGAAAGAAGTAGGAACCAGTAAGATTGGGGAATAGTTGATAAACAGGTGAATAAATTATCCTATGAAAACAAGTTGACCTTGACGAGCCCCCAGCATAATTATCAGTATCGTTACAAACAGTTTCAGTGAGTGTTTCGAATCAGTCGATCAGAAAAAGTCGTGATCATGCATTCCTTCGTGGAGTACTCCGCTAACTGCGATTTTCCTATTGAAAATCTACCTTATGGCGTCTTTTCGACAGCAAATAACGTGAGTATACTTATAAAATACTCTCTCGAGTACACAAGCAAGGTTTATAGGTTATATTCGAGAAAAATTAAACATTCTTTTATAATAACAATTATTTCCTGAAAACAATAACGTTGTATAAATATAACTATAAACCTATTAGTTATCAGTGGAAAATCATTATTTGTTTACTACAAGTATAATTCTACTTCAGTTTATACAAAGCGCCATCTGTCGGCAGCGCGAACAGTAAAAGGCGCACATTTTCAAACACCGAAACAGTTATCGGTAAAATCAAACCAAAAATTTAGTAAAAAAGTAAATTTCCAATGAACAAATCTTTAGTTTATTCACAGTAAAACATACTCTTGAATTTCGTATTAATTTTTTAATGTAAACTACATTATCGAACGATGGTAATTTTCAGTCCCGCAAGAGAATAGGAGTGGCGATCGGTGACGAAATATTAGATCTCTCCCTGATCTCCCATCTCTTCGACGGGCCATTGTTAAAAGACAATCAAGACGTGTTTCGCCGCGATTGCCTCAATGATTTTATGGCCCTGGGGAGACCCAGTTGGTTAGAAGCCAGGAACAAGCTTCAAAGTTTGCTGTCAGCCAGTAACCCGACTTTGCAGGAAGCAGACACTCGTTCGAAGTACGACATAAATGATTTAATAGCAAGAACAACAATGACCTACGTATTTAATCTTGCAGGGTGTTCGTGAAACAAAATGAGGCAACGATGCATCTGCCAGCGAAGATCGGCGACTACACAGACTTTTATTCCTCCATTTATCACGCCACGAATGTTGGCATGATGTTCCGTGGAAAGGCGGACGCGTTGATGCCAAACTGGTAATCAATTATCCTACAACTTTGCCTCTTCAGGGTTTCAGTGAAAATTCTTCTGCAGGAAATATTTACCCGTCGGTTATCACGGAAGAGCAAGCTCGGTGGTTGTCTCTGGTACGCCGATAAGAAGACCACGTGGGCAGACACTTCCGGTGGAAGGTGCAGCTCCAGCTTTTGGTCCTTCCAGGTCGATGGACTTTGAACTGGAAGTAGCCTTCTTCGTTGGGGGACCTCCCACCAAAGTGGGTGATCCCGTTCCAATTTCTGAAACCTATGATCATATCTTTGGGTTTGTCACCATGAACGACTGGAGTGGTAATGTTTCAAATGTTATGATCAATTTATTTTGACATGTAATAATGTAATAAATAATTTGCAGCTAGGGATATACAGAAGTGGGAGTACGTTCCTTTGGGTCCTTTCGGTGCGAAAAATCTGGGGACGACCATATCTCCTTGGGTGGTTACTATGGAGGCTTTGAAGCCTTTCGAAGTTGACAATTTCCCTCAGGATCCTGTTCCATTTCCGTATCTGCAACATAGCGAACCTTGCAACTTTGATATCAGGCTGGAAGTTGATATAAAGTGTGAGTACTAGGTGGATCATATGAAAGAAACTGTCGAATCTGAAATCTCTATTTCAGAATGACTTTGCGCTTTTTAAATTTCCTTAAAAACTTATGTTTCCACATCCACAAGTTCCTGTATTAAAGATGACACTCTGAGATCCCTACGACCCGGAATATCTGTGTCTCGAAATTCCAACGCTCCGAGGTTCCTACGTCCCGAAATTCCAACGCTCCGAAATTTCTATGTCCCGAAACTCCAACGCTTCGAAATTTCTATGTCCCGAAATTCCAACGTTCCGAGGTATCTACGTCCCGAAATTCCAACGCTCCGAAATTCCTACGTCCCGAAATTCCTACGTCCCGAAATTCCAACGCTCCGAAATTTCTATGTCCCGAAATTCGAACGCTCCGAGGTCTCTACGTCCCGAAATTCCAACGCTCCGAAATTCCTACGTCCCGAAACTCCAACGCTTCGAAATTCCAACGCTCCGAAATTTCTATGTCCCGAAATTCCAACGTTCCGAGGTCTCTACGCCCCGAAATTCCAACGCTTGGAAATTCGAACGCTCCGAGGTCTCTAACGTCCCGAAATTCCAACGCTCCGAAATTCCTATGCCCCGAAATTCCAACGCTCCTAGGTCTCTACGTCCCGAAATTCCAACGCTCCGAGGTCCCTACGTCCCGAAATTCCAACGCTCCGAGGTATCTACGTCCCGAAATTTCAACGCTCCGAGGTCTCTACATCCCGAAATTCCAACGCTCCGAAATTCCTACGTCCCAAAATTCCTACGTCCCGTAATCCCCATATTCCGACTTCTCCACTCCCAAAAATTCCAAAGCACCAACCTTCCAAAATCCCAAAATTCCAAAGCTTCAAAAAAGCAACAGATCTCACAACGTCGAATATCTAATTTTTCACCCACATATTCTGCAGCTCCCAGCGGTGTTGTCACAACGGTTTGTCACAGCAACTACAAGTACATGTACTGGACACCCCGCCAGCAATTAGCTCACCACACCGTGACAGGATGCAATATCAATCCGGGGGATTTAATGGCTTCCGGCACAATAAGTGGCGAGGTGGGTCCGAAATTTTTGTCTGTATAAAATCGTCCGTGACAAACAATAGTGAAACATCCTTTTTCTGTTTTGATTATCATGCGATTCAGGCTTCCGATTCTTTCGGTTCTATGCTCGAGCTCGCATGGAAAGGCACCCGACCTGTACCGTTACGAGATGGCACAAACAGGAAGTTCCTGGAAGACGGCGACGAAGTGATCATACGAGGTACGTTCACCGCGAGTTTTAAAGTAGTTCAAGCTGTCCATAAGCATGATTTTATCGACAGCTCTGACTTGTTAACCATTTTCCAGGTTACTGTGTCGGCGATGGCTATAGAATTGGTTTCGGATCGTGTGCAGGGAAATTATTGCCTGCCCATGCTGTATAATTCTTCTGTTCTCTATATCTGAAAAATTGTTATTCTTATTTTTTATGTATGTCACGAATAAAGGGTTGATATGACTTGTATACGTAGTTGTGTGTTTATTGATGACGTAGTCGAGTTATAAATAAATCTGATTGTTATGACCGAGTTTAGATGAGTGAAATTGTAACACACTGTGACGTAGAGTGACTAGTTTATCGATTCGAATGATGGCCGTGGTAAATTCGATCAATAAGGAGGCCAGAGCAGGTGCAGGTGGAACGGAGTATTCGGAGAACATGGCTGCTATCCTGTTGAAGTGAGTAAAATGCGAAAAATTTCGACTGTCTTTAATTTTCTTTTTATTTACGTGCACTTTAATCGTTTTTCGTGTGTGCACTTCTAGGATATGTCTAAGTAATTCGAGTTAAAGAGCATTAAACGTAATGGGAAACTTAGTAATATTTATTTATCATTTTGTTATTAAATTGGCAATATTTCGCATTACAATGGTGTAACGAGCTATAAGTAGGATAAAAAAATTAACTCAGATGATTGATCCAAGTTATTTGAACAATTTTAATAAATAATTCCATGGGAAGTAAAATGTGGATCTTGTCAATTTAAGTTTTTAAGTTGAGTAAATATTTCTTCATAACTTTCAGTCGATAGATACTCCACTTTTTAACTGGGTCAATCGTGACCCAGACCTAGAAAACGCACTCTGATTTTTCTGTGAAATCCTAACAAAAATTCTAAAAATTTCAAGAACCAAAATACAAAAGAATCTAAAATTCAATCCAAATTTTCTAAAGTTTAAAGTTTTCTAATCGCTAAAATTGAATGTATTAAACATTTTTAACTGTCCAGTCTCCTAAAAATAATTTGCTAAATTCTGGAATATAAATCTGTTAGAAGTTTGCATAATATCGAATTGCTCGACGAACCGACTGCAAAATGGGACGTCCCTTTGAGCGACGGAAACCACGTGATAGAGTTCGAACACGGGACGGCGACAGGTCGTCGATTGGTGAAAATAGATGGCAAAGAACTGATCCACCGAGATTGGATGTTCCATCTGGTTGGAGATGAAACGTTCACGTTCAACGGTAACAAATTCGTGATTAGAATCGATCCGATCCCAGGTAAAAATTTCCAACATCGAGTATTATACAATCATTAATCATATAAAGCTCCGATAGGTTTAAAGTATTCGTACACCTTGTGGGTTAATGGGAAGAGCTACGAGAATTTCATTCGGGCGCAGTCGAAAATTTTAGAAACTTGGTTGGCTAGTGTTGGTAACGAAGAGTACAGGATAGTGTTAAGTAATTAAAAAGAAATATATAAAATATGGAAGCAAGGATTATATTACATAGTCACTGTATTACATGACACTGGTTATTTATTTTGTAGATAAGCAAACGCAGACTGTTTGGATAAACGGCGAGGAGATCGAGACAGAGGTAAAAATAATTCCTTGCTCGTGTTTGAAGAAATATGGAAAGTCTTTTGTTCCAGAACGAATTTACCGACGACGGCGCAGAGATATTGTTCCCCATAGGAGATCTCGTAGCTTCGATCAAATCCTACAGCTCCGGCCAGAAAGAAATCGGAATAACGTACACTTTATACATCGACGACATAGAAATCGAGAAAGAAGTGCCTCTAAAAGAATCCAACGACGCCTGAAATCAACATGAAATTTACTATCTTACTGTTTCACTTCGTGAATTTTACTTACACTTTGTATATAACACAATAAACCACATGGCAATAAAACGACTCTCATTTATGAACTGAACATAGCTAGTTAGTATTCAGATCGCCGTATTCCGGAAGACAATTTTGAACATGTTTTTAATTTTATAGTATGTACTAGATTTTTGTAATCCGCGAAAATGTCGATGAGAGAGAGCATAATCAGTATTGGGTCTCGAATGTTTCAGAGACATGATGATATGCACTTTGATGGTATGTTTCATTCGAAATTCTTTAGTTCTAACCTGAATGATTTGCTCGATTACAGTTATGACTATTGAGGAACTGCATCAGATGCAGGATGACCTTCTGCAGAAGATCTGGATGACCACTCTTGAGAACGATGTGTACGAACGTTATTTGACGAGATACAATCCTCAGAGTCTCAAAAGTAAATGTTTCATAAATCCACGTTGCATGGAATTATAATACAGAGTTACCCTAATTAGTTTTATATGAACAATTTCATCAAGCTTATTAACCCCTTGCACTATTTTGACGAGTCTGACTCGTGACGCACTCATACTTCGGCCGTGATCAATTTTACTCGAATGTTTACGCTTCAACTTGGAGTTCAAGTCCAATTATAATTTGCATAATCAACGATTGTATAATAATGTATTGACATTTCAAATTTTTTTGTCTGTTTTAATATTGTAGCTGTAATTAGTCGCACCTGACAAATAAGTCATAGTGCAAGGGGTTAGGCAATGTAAATCTAAACCTGACTCAAATGTAACTTTCTATGAAAAGTCGGTTACTATGAACTGGGTCATTGTCCAGATTCTAACGGTTTATTATGTCAGCCTTAGGTGTGTATTTAGATATAAGTAGATAGGATATGTTTGACTAGATTTGGACCCAAAATGTGGACTACCGAAATGACAAAAACAAAATTAAATAAAATAACAAAAGCAAACTTTTTAAAGCCGTAGCGAACATACTGGATAGAACAAGACGTACTCGTAGAGTCACCATGTTAATGATGCCCAGATCATCGAGAATGAGTTTCCGCGAAAGTATAATAGCGTTACACGATCCGAGTAGACGCAGCGTCCTCAGCATGGACAGCTTCACCAGCCTGCACTCCGGAAGTCGATTTGGAAGCCAGATAACAATGGGAACATCCGGTGACACATCGAAGTTAGTAAACCGCGAACTGAATTGCGTCGTTCACTGGCTGATTTAATTTATCAGGATCACGATTGCTCATCGAATGACGATGGCGAGGAACGAGGTAGAAGAGATGAGGAAAGCTCTGGAGAAAGTCCGAGAGACGACCACGAAGAAGAGAACGTACTTAAGGGCAGAGCTCGAGGAACTCGAAATTCGTATCAGCGAAACTCAAGAGGCGAAAGAAGAATTCGAGGAGGATGTCGTGGCGGAAGGTGTGAATCGTATCACGGGGAAAATTCCAGCAGAGAAAATCGTCAGGTGATTGAATGCGGTGTATATCAGGAAAGTTCACGATTTTCACGCGCGAGTTCTCTCGCGAAGATTCGTGGAGGAGTGGCTGCGATCGGCGAACACGATTGTGGAACGACTGAGGCTGAGAAGCGCGACGCTGAGGACGCAGATCAAAAGGGCTCAACAACAGCTGATTCAGAGGGAGGAGCTCGGAGAGTCGCTTCACGTGGTTGACTTTGAAAAATTGACCATCGAGAACCAGGATTACGTAAAGATGATCGAGGAGAAGAATCGCTATGTGATTGATATGAAGAGAATCGCAGGTGATCAATCTTCCACTGTTAATGGACGATATTACGCTATATTACCAACAACAATACACTATATTATCAACAACAATAATACACTGTATTATCAACAATATTAACACTATATTATTAAGAACAATATTAACACTGAATGTCACATCGAAAATTTTATTTGAAGTTATCTGATGAATTTTGAGTAGCTTAGGCTTCAGTGAAGTATCAGAAAGTGTGAGATAGTTTTGATGTTCTCCTTAAATTTTCTTTGTAAATCTTTAAGTTCATCCTGTTCTCTAAACTTCTTAATCTCTAACCTCATAAGATCATTAGTTTTTATAAATTTTCAAGATTTATCTGCATTCTTCATTATTGAAAGAACTTTCCTTAGTTATCCTCTGAATTAAGATTACTGTTTTTTGTCAATAACTATGTACCTCTTCAACAAGTCAATATCACTTGAAACTCACACAAAGAAAATGTTCTCCTTAAATTTTCTTTGTGAATCTTTAAGTTCATCCTGTTCTCTAAACTTCTTAATCTCTAGCCTCATAAGATTATTAATTTTTACTTATTTTCAAGATTTATCTATGTCCCACCTATTGAAAGAATATTCCCTTAGTTATTCTCTGACTTAAGATTATTGTTTTTTGTCAATAACTATGTACCTCTTCAATAGGTCATTATCACTTGAAACTCACACAAAGAAAACAGAAACTGAACAATCTAGTGACCACGTTGAATGAAGTACAACAAGAGACCATAGCGAAAAAAGAACAGATTAAAAATTTCTCAAGCGAACTGAAGGTTGTACAGGCCAAGGTGAATCAGAAAACTAAGCTATTGAAGAACTTGGTGACCTTCGTGGAAAATCACATTGTAATTCTCAAATATTTTACCTAAACGTATAAGTAAAGAATTGAATCTATTTAATCACCAGCATAATTTCTAACAAATTATCTTTAAACACGAATACGTCTGAACTTTCTTTAACTCCACATCGTAAATCAAAACTTCACCTCATCTTTTTGCAACCTAACCTACCACCTTACGTGTCTGATTGCTTTCTTATATCCTTGATTGTTAAGCTAAAATTCTTTCACATTTAGGCACCAGATATCCTAGACTTCGTCTATCTGCAAGCAGAGTTCCAGAAATTGGAGAAAGTGTTTAAACGACTGCAAAGACGTAGAGACATCGATCGAATAATATACCACACCTACAAAAAACGCTATCTAAGGAAAATTCAAACCAGCTCCGACTATCTATTCGCAAGGTACTCTCTTAAAAAATATTGGTTTCATCGATCTACTAACAAGTTACTTCTTTCAGTAAACATAGAAAGAAATTATCCGACACAAGGTACCCCGTTCAGTTCTTCCCAGAAAATCCCGCTTACTGAAAACGGGAAATGCAGTTGTTTAGGTAAGAAATTACGCAGCCACTGTCACTGGTTACGCCACTGGATAATTGGAGTTACGGTGCTCGAAGCTTGAAATAAGCGTCCACTCATACTTTCCATAAGAAAGTCCAACAAAAAAAATACAGCAGTAAAAAAAAATACAGGAAGATACAAATAAAAATGAACTGAACTTTCATAAATATTTATAATTATTGTTTAACAAATATCATTAGATGTATTATTTAATAAATATTTACAATTATACGCATTTGATGTTTTCATCGATAACATTGCCCGAGTGATTACGACGAAGATCCTCCATTAACGCGCGAACATCTTGTGATGCAAAATTTTCTGCCGGTCGAAAGAATTCCCTTTCTATGCTAATGAATCGCGATCGTAAAGCTTCTGAATGTACCAAGAAATTTGAATCGGGTTAAAGATGGAAGGATTTTGGCGTGTGCCACGGTGTGCTGGGTGGTCACGCTTCACGCACCGATGATGCCTGTCCCTTCCTCTTTTCGCCCGTGGAATATCCGTCCCGGAAGACCATGTCTCTCTTTTCTGCGTTGATTCAGTTTTGCCGCGACGACAACATCGACGTACCGAATGTTCGATCGGTTGCTAATCCAACAGTGCTGTCGAAATTTTCATCGCCTTCATCACCATTGAAGATTCGCCATCTTCGAGACACCTGCTTCTTCGATCGCCAATTTTGCTATACGGATGGGGTCCGTCGATACTTTACGATTGAAAGTTTCCAAGGAGGGGATGAAAGTGACCCGGTCACGTTAATAGATCGTCGATATTTTCGATCAGAATCGTGCAAAAGAGATTGCGGTATTTTTTCGTGTACAAAAGCGAGAATGGTATGCTCGGTGGTGCATGAAGAATCGATTGGTCAACATCCTGACTTTCCAACTGGATTTCGTGCTCGAGAATGAAAAACGATTTCGAGAAAGTTCCACTTGTCGATTGATCTGATTGGTCTTTGAAGATGATACTAATCAATCTTTTGATAATCCTCTCGATGGTGCAGGAAGGGTTCAACAGGTACCTGGAGGTAAGACTTGGAGACCACTGTTTGTTGCTTTGATGTTTATATTAACGGTATTCTGAAGATGATACGCTTCGATGGAAACCTACTTACGGCTAGATGTAGATATTAGGCGGAAGCATTTGAAATTATAATTAGACACTGAATCTCGGTAACCGTGCCAGTAGGATTTGCTTTCGATTTGGCAGAGTTATTCGAGTTTCAATTTTATTTGCATTGTAAGGGAATGAACCTGAACCTGGGCGATGCTTTGCAATTTTTGAGAGAATATGACAGCGAAGCGTCCACGATGTGCACCAGGGTGATGACAGCACAGTGGAATTTTGCTACAAATGTCACTGAAACCACTCGTCGGAGAATGGTAAATTCTTGGCAAGAATAATGATAAGAATGTTCTCTTTAATGCTATAATTGTTGATCTAATCATATGATTCTTCATCAGTTAGATGAACAAGCATTAAAGTTGAAATTTGATCGAATTTCCTGGCGCAAAGCAGTCAGCTTCGCCTGGAGTCGCATACCTGATCCTCTAGCAAGAAGAGAGCTCAAAATGATCGCCACAAAGGGAAGAAACGCTCTGACAGATGACAAATTCAACGAGGTAAATTCTTCTTTACGTCACTTAAAGGATCATGCAAGAATAAATTTGATTTCAGCTGCACAGTCTGATTGCTGAGATGAAAGAGATCTACTCGAGGACCAGACTGTGTCCCTACAAGACAGTAGGTTCTAACTGCAATCTAAGTCTGGACCATGGTTAGTACCACAATTATTGGCTACCTTTACTGGTTACCAATTATCGTATTTTTTAGACGTCAGTAAAGTAATGGCGCGATCAAAGGATTACGATGAATTGCTGTATTACTGGCACGCTTGGCACGAAGCCACTGGTCCTCAGCTTAAAAACAAATACATGAGATACGTTCAGCTGGCGAATCAGGCAGCCAAATTGAACGGTACGTTCTAAATTAAACTGAAAGTCCATCTGTAATTCGTTAAGTAGAGTTAAAATTATTGACATATCTTCAAATTTCCAGGATTTGAAGATGCAGGTGATCAAATGAGGGAACTCTTCGAGGACGAGTACTTTCAGCAGAACGCAGCAGACGTGATGTCAACGATAATGCACTTGTACAAGAACCTCTTCACGTACGTGAGGACAAAACTGTACGAAAGGTACGGCGACAGGATCCGAAGAGATGGTCCACTTCCGGCGCACATCCTGGGTAACATGTGGGCCCAAAATTGGGAGGAGCTGTTCGACGTGGTGCAACCATTTCCTGCAAGCAAGAGACTCGACGTCACATTGGACATGATGATTCAAGGATTCACCCCGCTGAGGTGAGCACATCGACATATCGATAAGTTCATTTGAATTCGAGTTTCGTAACGTGAAGATGTTGAAGGATGTTCCAAATAGCAGAGGAATTCTTCACTTCCCTTGGAATGAAGCCGATGCCACCTGAATTCTGGAGGTTCTCCATGTTTGAGAAACCTATTGACAGAGAAGCGAAGTGCACAGCCAGTGCTTGGGATTTTTGCAACAGAATCGATTACAGGTATTTACTATCGAATGCGAAGAACCATCGAGTGTTCTAAGGATTAATTCCGCAGGGTGAAACAGTGTACACGGGTCACGATGGAGGATTTGCTGTCAACTCATCACGAGATCGCTAAGATACAGTATTACTTGCAGTACAGGGATCAGCCATTATTATTTCGGAACGAAGCGATTCCAGGTGAAATAAGACACCTCTCGAAGTGTTTTGTATATCTAATTTTTTATTTCTTCAGGATTCTTCGAAGCAGTCAGCGACGCCATCGAGTTATCCGTCTCCTCACCCAAACATTTGAGCAAACTTGGCTTGTATGACAATTCCACCGACGATTATGGAACGGACATTAATTTCCTGATGCTGATGGCTCTTCGCAAAATTGCGTACATGCCGTTCGCTTACATAGTCGACGAGGTTTATACTTTATGTACTTCATACAGTTCAATAGATATAGTTATTCGCAATATGTGAATCGTACAATTTTTTCGTTTATCAAAAGTGGAGGTGGCGTGTGTTCAACGAGGACGTTGGGGATATGACAAACAAATGGTGGGAGTTAAGGCTGCAATATCAAGGGATTGTGCCACCTGTGCCAAGGACCGAGAGAGATTTTGATCCCGGCTCGAAGTACCATGTTCCTGCGGATGCTCTTTATGCCAAGTATGAAATTTGTGCACCGAACAGTTGTAACAGATTCTAAAATTTGCATATCACTTTAGATACTTCGTCGGTGTCATCTTGCAGTTCCAATTATTTGAGTCCCTGTGTGAAATCGCGGGGCATACCGGTGACTTACATAAGTGCGATTTTTATAGATCACGAGAAGCTGGACGATTATTATCGTAAGTATTATGTCAGCAAAAAAATTGTAAATTCTGCAAATATGTTTGCAGAAAATTTTTACTGTTTTTCGTATAGGGACGTGTTGTCGATCGGTTCATCCAGATCGTGGAAGGAGGTTGTAAGAGAAATGACACGAGGCAGAACGAATAGAATGGATGCTGGAGCGATGTTGAGGTATTTCGAGCCCTTAAATCAATGGCTGAAACGACAAAACGAAATGGAACCAGTTGTTGGTTGGATAACTAATCGTGAGGACACAGGTGTGTTTTATCATTCTATACAGAAGATTGTAGAACATAATATCTACATTTCTTTTCACTTATTTCAGCCTTGTTTTTTCACTGGTACCAAAGTGGAGCTCAACAAGTCACCTCATGCTTATTTCTTCCATTGGTTTTAATTTTTACACAGATTTCTATATATTAAACTGCATTACTGTATAAAGAAGAAAAATGATCGTGTACATACTTCATAGCAACTTAGAACAGATCAGTGAAGTAACAAACAAAAGAATATTTATATATTTATTGTACAATTAATCTTTCTTAGAGAGTTTGTGTAATTTCTAGGATATTAAGCCAGCTTTTAGTTTCCTAACAAAGTTGTTTAAATATATAAAAATGTGCAAGCTTTTATTTCAAATTTTGAGAATGGTGCTGTTAGTGCCATCTAGCAAAGAGTGAATGGACTAAGGAGAAAATTTGAAATCTTTTAATAAAACAAGCTATATTTTAACTTTATTCAAAATAGTACAATATTTTGCAATCTCTAACTTACATAATATCACAGCTTTCTTAAAGAGGCAGTTTCACATAAAGACACAATGTCATTTGTAGTAATAGGTCATCTGTACCAAAGAAACCAAATTTAGATGACTGTTTATTAATATTTGACATTATATTTTGACTTATAGTTTGTCAAATATTGTACATTAATTACATAACAGTCTAACTTCATTAGATACAAGTCTTCTGTACACATTTACTAAAACAAAGCACTTAGAACTAATAAATTTCTAACTAATTCTTTTTATAGAAACATAACTTTATATATCCTGTTGTTGTTGCTAATTCAATCCAAAAGATAGTTGTATCTATTTTAGAAACCTCTGTAATATATTGATCTACTGAAAGCCTAAGATTACCTTTGCATTTCCTAAGCCACTCATTACATAAGGAAGTCATTATAACAAAGTACAGAGTAATTGTTATTGAAAACTTCCTCTATTGTTTGTAATTGTTAAAAATAACTATGGTAATTGCTGCTGGTCCACCCTGTATAGAGTAACGAACATGAATGCCACCAGATGTCGATAGTGCAGCTGCGTACAACCTCAGTTATCAAATGTACATTTTCTAATGTACGAATAAACATGTGAGTTTTTGTTAATATAATTATCTTGAATAATTATCATCGCGTGTTGGAGCTGACAGAACTGAAGAATTATTCGGTAAGTTCTGTCCAACTTGTACGCGCAAACGTGACACGGTTCGGTGTTAAAAATTGTGAACCATCATCGTTGTAACCTACGAATCCTACGCTTTATTGGTTAGAGGTAACAGCGGTCGTTTTTGAAAATGGAAATACTTTCCGTGCGAGGTATTAGACTCGCATCCAGTTTAGGGTTCAGACCGTTGTTAACGACGAAAAATTTATTAGAGTCAACGTGTTTTCTGCGTTACAGCGATCGTTTGAAATTCAAACTGTCTGGTAGGTTATAATGTTTTTTGCTTGTCGGACCGTGACCCATGAACCGGTACCATTCGAGGTTTTGTCGATTTCAGAGAAACAGTTGCTTCAAAGAAATCTATCGTACAATTATGTCCCATTTTTCAAACGAATTAGTGCGTGCGAAACGCCACTTTGTAAGTTCAACAAAAATATTTTGGTTACGCGATATTGTCAATCAAAGACCAGTAAGGATGCTGCTAAAGAAGGACAGCCAGCTAAAGTATCAATATTTACTAAAATGAAACAAATGGGTAAGGACTACTGGCACATATTGCTTCCAGTTCACATTGTCACCTCTGTAGGTTGGCTGGTTATGTTCTATTTAACCATTAAGAAGTAAGTAATGTTGTGTCCTGCCCGAGATGATGGTCTGGGATATGATATATTACTCAATATCTTTTCAGCGGGGTAGATATTGTACAGGTCATGGAATATCTGAACTTTAGTGATAAGTATTTAGACAGGATACGAAACACCAGTGCAGGAAACTGGGCTTTAGCGTATGTTCTTTTTAAAATTGCCACACCTCTTAGGTACACACTTACCGTAGGTAATTAAATGATACCTATTATTGAAGCTACTAAGCAAGTACAGAAAAAAGATGGTAACTTAATTAATAACATATGTGTGTGTGTGTGCAAATCGTGTAGGATGTACAACAATGGCTATCAAGATTCTTAGCAGATCAGGATTAGTCAAACCTCTACCATTTGGCAAACAGAGTCAGGTGATATTCAAGGTATAAATACGTATGATCTTTTTAACAAGAATACATTAATGAAACAATCATTGATATCTGAACTGTTTGTGTTACATGCCTTCATGACATAGTCTACATATGAAACTGTGTGTAGGTTTATGCATATTGTTAGAAAGTAGAATCTTGCTTTGAAAGATTTTCTGTTTCTCTCTTTTTAATCTGCTAGATTTCTACTCTATTATCCACTGTTTGTAAAGGACAATAGCTGATCTATTGTTACATTTTGTAGACAACAGAATCAAATAAAACAGCGATGCAACAAAAACAATTAAAAGTAGAACGACACACGGAGCCACCAAAAACGTAGCAGCAAGAACTCATCGATCAAGTACCACCTGGATATGAAGCTTTCATTTTCTTCTTTCGTGTAGTCTGAGGACTACATGGATCGAATGGATGTACAGTGTCTCTTGTAAATATATAAACATCATTATGTTGCGATAAAGACCTTGAATGCAATATTAGATAAATTCATTCACTTATTTTATCCCCACCATGAATTGTGCCAACATCAACTTGTACCAATTAATGTTGATCAGATATACTGTTCTTTATTGAACGGTCGCCTTACATCATACACTTAAATAACATTGTACTTTTTATTTACAATACTTGCGACTTAAAATCTTATCTAAAAGCAACGATATTCATTGATCATAAAATGTAGCGGATATTTTTTTGGCAGCACGAATTGTGCGTGGTATCGTCGTACAATTAATCGTAACAATGCACCTAATAATCAATGCATGTCCTTGCTAAACATGGAATTTCTTTATTTTTTTTTTTCAGCGACAACGTTCCTTTACGCCTTATGTAAATTCCTGAGAAGTATTGACGAATCTCAAGAGTATTGTATAAGTTCGGATAATTGTATTGTCATAATAAATACTGTTAGCAAACGCAATTACATCAAACATGATGCACATTGAACGTATCCAATAAAAAGAAGTCCTCTAACTTGATCATTCATAAAATGGACACGTGATAGCACGACCTCGTGTTATATACACGAATTAAAATAAGGAATCATTGCTTAACATCGATATAATTATTATGCTAATATATCACACAGTTGCCTGGCGCAACCCGTTCATCCTAACGAGAACACTGTATTTGCGTACAGTACCATGTGGACAAATAAATAAGAGCACATATATATTTATATATATATATTAAATATACTACTAACTTATATTATTATTAGCTGTCAATGGAAAATTGTTTCGTGTTGATCGACAATATACGTACGACATATTGCTAAAAAGATCAAACACCGATCTGACTAATCTAGGTGATCCCAAGAGAGGCAGTGTAAGTATTTCGATTTCGTAAATATCCAGTCTTGGCTCGTTATCTTAGTCTCCCTTTCAGAGGAACAATAAAGCTGTCTGTATCTTTCGTAGGCTTTGATTAACTCTAATGCAAATATCAGTATTCTCTACTCGCTTATCCCGAATAAACCGGTAGATAAACCTAGGTCTCACGTTGGTAAATAGGCCATATGGACCAGTCAATAGTTGCAAATGTCGGATGACTTACTTGCAGTTCAGTTTAGAATATTCGTCGAAACGCTTATAAATATGAAACTTAATTTAGCCCATGTATTGATAGCTAGCTGATACTGGTTGCGGTGCCTTCGGTTGCATGTGGGATATGCGTTGGATGTGGCACGCACGACACATGAGTCTACCGTCGAGTGGATAGCATCGTTTGTCCGGTTCATCGGTCAACTGCATACCACAATCCTCGCAAACGTAACAATCCACGTGGAAATCTTTATCCATGGAGACCACCCTAACAGTTTCCTCGGTACCCTATTAAACAGACCGCAAGTTAGAGCGAAGTCCGAGGCTGATGTCGAAAAGAAAACGATGATTACCTCGACAGGAGTGATGCCCTTTCCGCAAGAAGCACATTTGGGCGCGAACATTCTATGATAATCGTTAACGCAATAGATCTTGTTGTCGACGTCGACCGTAAAAGGCACACCGTCCAGACATTCGTTGCACACGCAACATCTGAAGCATCCCGGATGATAGGACTTGCCCATAGCTTGCAATATCTGCGGACAGAGGAATCTCGGTATAATTGTAATTACAACGAATGACCATCAATTTAATTACCATTTCCATGATGAGGTGACCACAAATCGCGCACTTCTCGGCGGTTTGCTGAAAGCCTGAGTACTACGGATGAAACGTTTTGAGTTACTACGTCATCGCGTCATCAGCGCGTCGTAATTGATGTCTTACGTACCAAGTAATCTTCCTCGCAGTAAACCCTTCCGTGAACGTTATAGAACGCTTTGCCGCGCAACGCTCTTCCACAGGAACAGCATATAAAGCAATTTGTATGATAAAGGTTGCCCATCGCTTGGCAGGCCTGACCTGCCCCCGTCACCTTCTCTCCGCACGTGTGGCAGATGCCTGTCAAAAAGACATCCCTTGTAACAACGAATTACAGCACACGATACATTCTTAACGATAATTGTGTCGACATTGAGCACTTGCAGTCGCTATTCAGGGGATCGAAATAGTGCTTTGTCAACCATGAGTGTACGGGCTGACTGGATCGGCAAGGTTTAAAAATACCCTCGATACCCGATAAGATCCATTCTTCAGGGTCAATAACTGTCAGAAGTGCGAACAAATGGGGGGATACATATGGGTACCAGTCGACGGAGACCAACTTACAACTATCGATGTGCAACACAGGCCCTGCCATCCCTTTTGCAACAACGCTCTATCCCTCATTCACCGTTAATGACACTTGTACTTTCGATTGTACGCTTTCGTTTCACTAGGCCAGTCCCGTTCGAACTAGAATCCGCCAACGAGTCGGACTAGTCTATCTATAACGAGATTACTTACCGCGGCGAGCGCGACCTGGCCACGGCAGTTCGCCGTGTACAGGACGTTACACGAAGAATAGAACCCGTGCAGAAAAACGAGGAGGAACGCTAAGCTCGCCTAAACGCCAGCCGCTTCTCGACTGACGTTGGCTAGCTCGAAGTTTCCTATCCGCTCGTGCGGATCTTTCGTACCCTACGGTTAGGCTGCGTTCAAATAAAACCAGACAACTTTAAACCTATTTGTTCCGAACAGCGTGAAGCCGAGCGTAGGTTTGGCGAAAGTAATTTGCATCGAGTGCATCAGGTTTATCTTAACAGCGACTTCAACCACTGGACAGGTTCATAAATTACGAAATCAAAATAGAGTTACTTTGCTATTTGAAGATCATTGCTTGCGCGCACAAATTGATGACAACGTGCAATCAGCGTGGAGGAAACTGTCCAATGTGAACACTACTTTACCGTGTTCAAACGCACACAATTGAAGGGAGAGATACTGGATGTGTGTGTGAACTTACAAATGCATGCAACCCGCACACTTGTGACGCTTCCCGTAGGTGCGAAGACACGTAGGTGGAAACGAATGGGTAGAGAGTGAATGTCAACGAAACGTATCAAAAAGTTTCGCGACACATTGAAACTTGACTCCATTTTCCAAAACCGGTCTACCGCTGGTTGGGCCGTGGGAATTGATACGGTATCCTGTTGTCTTATTTTTGCTCAGGTGATTCAAATTATGCATTGGAACGGGTCGAAAATTAACTCATCCGATGATCAAATGATGACAAATTTTTAGGGACGATGTTGGGAAAAATGTAGTTCGTTTCAATAAATATCTTCCAGTTGATTATTGCTCCTTACCAAAGTATTCCCCTTCCTCTTCCTGCTTTTCCATTTCTTCTTCCAACTGTTTCGTCAACTCTTCTATTTTCCTCTCCGCTTCAGTGGGTCCCTGCAAGATATAAATCACATCCTGCGTTGTGATCAGTACTGACAAATGGTACTATGGACCGAGGATGGAATTTCGTCACGGGAACACATAAATCTGCATGCGTTTATGGCAATATTCAAGGCAACAGGAAGGTGTAAATGCGAAAAACTGTTGCATGCATGGTGAGGATGAATACGGTCTATGAATAAAATATTGTGCGGCGACTATACAGCGCTTGTCAGAAACGGACAATTTACAGTGTATGATTCAGCGCGAGTTCGCAGAAAGAACTCGTCACAAATTGTAAGATATTGCGGATGGTTCATGCGTTTTTTTCGATGCTTTTCAACATTCACGCGGGCAGTTCGATTTCTAAAAAAAAACAGGATGTTTATTGAGTTGTTTGGAACAATATTTCTGTCAGAACATCGGTTATATCTTATCGCTATTATGGGTCAGTCATTATGCGAAGCATCGACGATAGCGGTTGACATTTGTGACGCTATCGCTTACGCACAAAAAGCAGCGCAAATTGCTTTTTCGTTGTACATACAATTTTCAACATATATTTTGTTAGTTAGAATTGTTATTTCAAATCAAAGCAGATTGTTAGGAACAGCAGGACTTTTTTTTATATAAAGTAGCATGCAAATAGACCAACATTTGGCATTCGACCAAACTGAAACACATCAATACATTCCCATGAACCGAATCAACGAGTTACATTGCAGAGTATAGTTGCAAACACAAAAGTTAGAGACACATTCGAAATAGGAATAGATTGGTGCTTTGATCTTAAATGTTTCTTACTGAAGTTTTAGGTGGTATGACATTGTAAGGCAGTAGTCCCTTTCCAGATGTAGGCTTAACTGGTGGACTGACTGACTTTCTTTCCTCTGGTTCAGGTTCAGATGGCCTTTGCAGCACAGGTACACCAGCATTTAAGAAAACTGGGCCAGCCACACCACTAGTCACCCCTGGAGGAAGACTAGTGATTCTAGGACCATGAACATTTGTATCAGATTCTGTGGTAATAGCTGTAGCAGTAGTTACTGGTGTTTGTACTTGACCGGACACAAGACTTCCAACATTGTTGGTGGAAGATGGTGACATGTGCCTTGGTGATTTCATGACATTCTGTATAATTGTATCGGATGATGCCTGAGTGTGAACTGGACTTATTTTTGTAGAACCTCTCATGCTGTTATTGTTGGTCACAATTCTAGAAGAATCACTACGACTGGGTGAGTACATGGGTGCTGTCTTTGTTTCAGAAGATTCAGGTACATTCTGAACAAAGTTTCTATCACTTTGCAAATTACTTAATCTTAAATGTTCCGATGAACGATTGGATGAATAAATTGGGGAGTTCCTAGCAGAGAATTCTGATCTAGGTTCCTGATGGTGATAGCTCCTCTCATTCAGTGGTAACACTCTATTTGGAGAATAACAAGGAGAATTACGGCAAGCAGATTGCTCTCCTTGCCGTACACCATAGACCGGTGAATTTCTAGCTTGAGTCTCCCCACTGATATTTGCACTTGCAGTTCTTGTCGTTTGTTCCATGTATGGTTTATAATTGTGAGGTCCACTTATTGCACTATCCAAAGAACTACGATAATGATGTGGTTCTGGAGGTAATCTTATAGGTGGAGATTCACTGTGGTAAGGGAGACCAGATCTAGGAGGCTGTTGTTGTTGTTCAGAATTATAATTAAAATTCCTTGTCGGTGTCTGCAGTTCTGACGGTGGCACATAAGCACTTCTGCCAGACTGATGATCCAACGACGAGGAAGTTCCTTGTAAGTACCTTGATGTGGAAGAATCAACAGAGCGTTGTAAGCTTGAGCCATCATAACTTTGCCCACGTATGCCACTACCTCTTTGCTGTGTATACGATAAACTTTGTGTCATACCCCTTTGATGCTGTCCTTGACCTACTTTCCCAGTCATAACAACATAATCACCACCATTGATCGTTGCTGGATGATAATAATTAGGTGGCACCTGAGGACCTGGTTTATTCTGACTGCTTTCTGTAAAATGTACCTCCTGAATATTCTCGTACACAGGAGGTGCTTCATACGGAGGTAACTCTTTAGCTGGTGACGGAGACTGATATCTATTCCCAATGGGCACCTGAGGTTGCGCTTTCCTAAAGGTAGGTTCATAAGACTCGCTTGCCAAAGAAGCTCTTGGACTACTCTTAGGGCTCTTTCTAGATTCCACAGGATGATAGAAAGGGGGATGAGGTTGAGTCTGTTGTGGGTAATAATCAATATTCTCATATACTGGTGCTTGCTGATGACTCATACGGTTCTGATTTTGCTGCTGTTGTTGAGCACCTATTTGTTCCACAGGTTTTGGCGTTGCGAACCTTGACGCAGCTATTATGTTTTCACGCTCGTATAATTTATAATCCGTAGGCGGCTGTCTACAGGTCTCGGCATTACCTTCAATAAAGCTCTCAATAGCACCAACCGGTCTGCCAGGTCCTCTAGCGTCGATTCTATTCGTAGTATTCCTTGACACGGGTACCTGGGCCTCGGGTCGTGATCCCGTGACCCTACCCGAAACACCTCCGGCGTCATTGGGCTCATCTCCGAGTTGCAGATAACCTAACTTTTGTACGTACGAATCGTCGGTAGGATTGCTCATTGGCAGTGATTCACTGTAAGGCGATCGACGACGATAGAAAAATTTGTGCTCGTTGTTCAAAAGTGACTCACTGGTGTTGTTCAATGCCAGGATTTCGCACAAATTGTTAAAAAACGGCTCGACATCGTTCACGAAGCTGAATCAGCTCAGTGGTCGTCGTGTCAAATCGATCCTTTTCGATTCGATATAACCCAAACCCTTCGGTCGATTCTCACCGGTACTTCTTTTGCTGCACAGTCGTGATTTTCCCACGGGACACGATAAAACACGATGCACGTATCGAAAAAGTAGTTTACTGGACGAAAGCAAGGTCGTTTTTTCTACAAGATTTTGGGATACGCCCCGCGATCACGGCGCCTCGAGTCAATGTCTATGTTTCCGAATTATCGTTTGTCTATCGGGAAAACCTCGAAGCGTCCTGCACCGAAAAATCACCACCTGCGAAAATTCACACGATACACACATACATCCACCCTGCACACATCGTGGTTCGTCAAACCAGATACCTGCGAGATGTTTTCCCCTGCTACGAGTTATCCAGATCAGCCAAGGTTCCAGCATTTCGCCACGATGTGGCGCCACCGTTACTGGAACGCTCCATTTTGTTTGGAAAAGTAAGGTTCCTGCATTTTGTGCTTCATAATCCAAACTAGTGGCGCTAACGTCGCTATTAAAATCAATCCTAGTAAAATAATATATTTTCAATCCTTTTCTCCAAGGAATGCAGACAGTGTACGCATGTTAACAGGATTCAGAGAACGTAACTTCCATTTGCATACGGTACAAGAGACGTGTCGTTATCAGATTCCAAAGTCCGTTTAAATAGTCGGTCTAAAGATGCAGGAATGCCAGGCATGTTTGTCCATTTAAATGAGGATATCTTCGCCAAAATCGGAGATAGAAATTTCGCACGAGATCGTTCCCCTTTTTGACCCTAGAGTAGAATAGACGCGAATACATTGACTGGTGCTCAAAACAGGTTCTTTTTGGGACCTGCTTAGAACAGAATGGACAGGTCGACAGGTAAAGATGCAGGAGCCTGTCCCGCGCGCCGTCATGCATTCACGGGAACCGTGCTCGGCATAATAATGCAATGTACTTCCCATACGTCGTTTACGATTGTCCTTACTACGGTCAGCGGAGAACAAATTATCAATTAGGGACATCTATCAGAAAACGTTGAACGTAACGGACCTCATGAGAAGACTTCTTGTGCCATTCCGGGAAATTAAACGACGACATTGGTTCTCGTTAGTCTTAAAGATTTAGAATCATGGTGAATTCAGCGACATCAGTGATTTATAAATTCTAGGAACAGGAGGAGTGTAATTAATCAAGCATGACCCGTTGCTCCCTTCCGATTAAAGATGCAAATGTTTTATCTCGTACAGGCGAAGCAAATTTTTGTATTTACGATCCGATTGATTCGAGCTTGCACGTGTTGCCGTAACCGAGCCCCGCTGTCGTCCTACGCGGGAAAGGAACCAACTTTTCATTGGCCGTGTCTCGCAACTGTTCACCGGCGACGTGAGCGACGCGACCTCACTCAACGAAAACTTTATATTTTCGAAAGGTGAGCAAAAATCGTGGATTTCTAGCCTTCGATCCACCCACCAGATGGTGGCACCCACGTTTTTCCAAGCACCTGCGAGCCGCTACGTCTTGTTAGTCAACACCGGTTTGATATCGACCCCTGACGTAACACTACGTATTTGGATCTCGTCGACTTATCGTTCGACATCTGATTCCGCTTTTATAGCTACATAAATTACTTCACAGCCGAAGAAAGCCATGAGTGTCAGACTCTTAATTGCCACCCAAAAGGTTTCAAACATGTGGTGACGAAAGTCAGCTTGTACGAATTATACCGTTATTCACTTCAGTATCGAATTCGCCCACCTGATACGTCGCTCATAATTGATTTACGATTAATATGCAAGGAGGATCTCAACCATCTAATCTATTCACTACGTAACGCGAAACAAATGTCCAGGTAGACTATCGCATGTGCCGCGACCGGAAGTGTAGCGACCAACGTCGAAGTCGCGGCACAATATCACATCGGGTTCCCGTGTACTCGTCGCGTCGTTGCGACAATAAACACGAGGTTTACGGCCACAGGATCGCACATGTGTCCGCGTACATGCGTTTACGTACACGTAAAGAGATGGCTGGCGTGAGAGTACACAGGAAACGCAGCCCTGTGCTGCCCGCATGGCTCGGAATCCACGAGAATAGAATCGCATTCGACTGTGTGGGTCCTCTGCACAATGGAACAGCACCCACGGCCGTGTGTGTACAGGGTTGGTTATGCTACTGGTGAACTATATAGGGTGGCAAGAAAATCAAACTTTGGGACTACAATTTTACTTTAATCATTGTGGAGAACCTAGGGAGGACTTGGGAAGATCCTAAGGAGATTCTGATATGAATTTAGAGAGGTCCTAAGAAGCTGTGGGAAGTTTAAGGGGATCGTAGACTGATTATAAAGAAATTCGAATGGGAAGAAGGTCCTAAAGAGATGCAAAAAGGAATTTAGTGGGATCTTGGAGAGAGGAGAATTTGATAAAAACTTGATGCTATTTTAAGGTTCTAAAGGGAATCTAGAAAAGTACTAATGTGATTGTAGCTCTTAAGGTGATCCTTACTGAACCTGACAGAGATGATAAAAGAAACCTAGTAAAATTATAGGTCCAACTGAAATTTAGGAATATCCACAACAAAGTTAGGATTAAAGCTTGGAAGACTAGGATAAAGATTAAGAATACTAAGATGAAGCTTAGAGAGATGTTCATAGACTAATTACTGAACCAAAATAATGAAAGTCACTTGCAGTAGTAGAAGTATAATGTGCTACCATAGTTTGAGTCCCTACTTCTCTGTCACCCTGTGCATGGGTGCTCGGTTAACTGCATCCTTTGTAGGCACGATTTGAATTGCACACGTGTTGGTGCACCTGAGTGTACACGTAGGCACGGGACAGGAGGTGTACAATGATAGTGCATACATTATAGCAGCACAGGTTGTTTCACGACCACGGTGCTGACTAGGCGGAAAGAAGATTTCCTCGCGGAAAAGATGCAAGACTTGATACCCTGCTATCAGAGTCATCTAATTAACTGGCTGTCCAATTATGTTGCTCTTTGTTTACCGATTTATGTTGTCGGAGATGGAATTTATTCGCGCGCCGTAAAAGTACACTTTCTATCAATTTGGGAATTGAATCTTGATATTTATGTAACAGGACTTGAGTAAAAATTGTGATTGATTTAGGACTTGAAGTTTGAAAGAAGTGTACTTTCTATTAATTTGGGGAATTGAATAAATCTTTATTTTTAAGTAACTTAGGATTTAAGTAAAAATAGTGATTGACTTAGGACTTAAAGTTTGGAAGACGTGTACTTTCTATCAATTTAGGGAAGTGAATCAATCTTGATTTTTATGTAAGTTAGGACTTGAGTAGAAATCGTGATTGATTTAGGACTTAAAGTTCGGAACGGTCTAATCCTTTCGATAGCTTACAAATGTGTGAAAGTAATATTACAGGTGAAAAGTTCGTATCTTCAGCAAAAAGTCTTCATCCGCTCTGAAATGTCCATCCGGTGATATTTGATATTTCTGATAAACGATTGACGTTCACTTCTGGTGAACGGATCGGTCATTCCCACGTAACAACTTTACAACTCACCTGTTGATTTCCTGGATGGTAATTTCGCCGGTGAATCACGATACGATAAAGATAAGGAATTACATTAATTAGGTGAGTTTTATCAACAGCGAAGTTCATTTTTGTACTTTCTCGTCGAATATAAAAATAATGCATTTCCTTGACTATATAAAATCGTCAATTACTGATTATGTAACGTTAACCAGTATAATTTCATAGTCAGGTTACCGACCCTCTGTTACAAAAGTCCTCAATTCACTAAATTTAGCCGACTTTCCTTTTCCACGCATAATCTGTTCCCCCGTTTACGTAGCGTCCCATCGACGATGCCTTTTTATGCCACCGAATCGAATTCCTGCGCTTTCTGGCCCCGGGTCGCCCCAAGCAACGGAAGTCTCGCCGGTTCTCCCGTTTAACCTGCGTGCATATGCGGTGTACTGCACGTGTTTCTCTCGTGCGTGTCCCGTTGTGTATGTAACTTGGGTATACAAGCATATATGCCGCTTCTCGGTTGGTTACCTTGTCAAGAATTCTGAAGGAAGCCTCACGGATTCCCTTGAACCTGCTTCAACGATGTTGATCGATTTTTGCACGTGATGATTTCATTAGCGAACATTATCAAAAACAATTACGCTTTGCTCATAGTTATCGGAGATTCGACGAACATTTAATCGGTACGTTTCGTGCCTTGCATACTTTACTGCACGTATCAAAAGTGGCACGAGTCTTAATAAGCTCGTTTGCAATGCAAACGAACCATATAATACTTGGCTCATTACCTCTATTGGAATCGCTCCAATCTAATGTACATGAACGTGGTTAACGAAGATTTACATCGACAGGCAATGGCAGAGATTTTAATCTTTGTGAAAAAATATGTTCTATTTTTTAACGATGAACCGAGACTTTGAATTGATTTTTAGGTGCATTTGCATGAGGTTTCATATGAATTATTCAAACTTCTTGGACAGTTCGAGTCTTAGAGTGTGCTTCTTGGTCAGTTCGAGTCTCAGAGGGTATTAGCTTTGGATTAGCTTTGAGTTAAATATTGCACAAGAGTCGTGTAATGTGTTCTATTTTTTAACAATGAACCGAGACTGAATTTTGAATTGATTTTTAGGTGAATTTGCATGAGGTTTGATATTAATTATCCAAACTTCTTGGCCAGCATTAGAGTCTCAGAGTGTATCAGCTTTGGATTAGCTTTGAGTTAAATATTGTACAAGAGTTAATTCAAGTCAGTGTCTAATGTTAACAATGTATGAAGATCTGTTTCAAATTGTACAAGTACGATCTGAAGTTTTGAAGTCAGTTTCAATGTCTATCAATAAGCCGATGATTACAGGCGTTGAACTGCTTTCAGATGAAAATCAAAGTCATGAGTAGCTCCGTGTCAGGTGGTGCCTTTCTATCGCACGTATCTTCATTGTCGTATAAAACGCGTTTGCGAAGCAGCATCGGCACGCTCGCGATTCCCATCCATCCCGAGGAAACAATAGGTCGACAAAGAGAGAAGGCTGCTTTCTTTTCTCAGTGTTCGAGGCAACGAACGACCGGGCCTTTCAAGAGATCCTCAAAGCAACAGGCAATACGATAGACTATTGATAACGTTAATTACTTTGTAAATAATATAGCGAAACGATCTCGTTTTTCCTGGCGCACGTGTCAGAAGACTTTTAAAAGAATTTACAGTGAAAGTGAAGGAAATCGAGGAAACGTATGAAACACGGTGCTCGAATTGAGCGGCTGATTTCGAGTTGCGTGATCTCGAAAGCAAAGACGCACGTGAAAATGAACTAGAAAAATGAAATAACGCGAGTTCGTGCATCCAGAACGACCGGAGAAGTTCAACGCGATGAATATGTGTAACGACAAGCTAATTTGCCACTCTCACGCGATTCAAAAGGCCGTTATACACGAAGGACGCTTCCCACGTTATTTTGCGTCAGATGTTCGGGCCTGCGTTTTGTCCAGTGGAACGTTACCGAAAATTTCGCAAAAGTAACGGGGAGACTTGTAGGAATAAATATGAGGGAGACAAATTATCATTTAACTCATAATCATTAACACGAATGCTGAAGACTGCTTGTGGATTTTATCGGGTGTGGGCAATCTTATAATTCTGGTAATAGGTAATTCTTTAACAATTTTCATGTATTATTTTTATAATACTTCGTTGTCTACAATCTCAAGTACTTGTAACTAACATAATTAGGTACAAGTAGGAAATTAAAGAACAAAAGGATAAAACAAATTTCCAAAAGGAAATTCAAGGATAATTTTGTCAGATGAGAACAGTCTTACAATTCTGGTAATAGGTAACTCATTAATAATTTTCATGTATTATTTTTATAATACTTCGTTGTCTACAATCTCAAATACTTGTAGCTAACATAGTTAGGTACAAGTAGTAAATTGAAGGACAAAAGGACAAAACAAATTTCCAAAAGGAAATTCAAGGATAATTTTGTCAGATGAGAACAGTCTTACAATTCTGGTAATAGGTAACTCATTAATAATTTTCATGTATTATTTTTATAATACTTCGTTGTCTACAATCTCAAATACTTGTAGTTAACATAGTTAGGCACAAGTAGGAAATTAAAGAACAAAAGGACAAAACAAATTTCCAAAAGGAAATTCAAGGATAATTTTGTCAGATGAGAACAGTCTTACAATTCTGGTAATAGGTAACTCATTAATAATTTTCATGTATTATTTTTATAATACTTCGTTGTCTACAATCTCAAGTACTTGTAACTAACATAATTAGGTACAAGTAGGAAATTAAAGAACAAAAGGACAAAACAAATTTCCAAAAGGAAATTCAAGGATAATTTTGTCAGATGAGAACAGTCTTACAATTCTGGTAATTTTCTAACAATTTTTATGTATTTTATAATACTTCGT